TCGGACGAGTTGAAGACCGCCCTGGCCCTGGAACCCATGCCTGGCGGGGTCAAGTACATCATTTCCACCCAGGTGAGGTGGGCCTGCTGGACAGCTCTGCCCCACATCCCATCTCGTGTGACGGACGGGGCTGCGGGCAGGAGGAAGGCCCCCCGTGTTAACCCACCTGCACGGCCTGCGACCATCACCCACAACTGGGTCTCTTGCAGGTGGGGCCTGGGCCCCAAGTCCTGGATGACCCCGAGGCTCACCTCCTGGGCCCTGACGGCCTGCTAAGGTCAAGACCAGCCGCTTGATTCCCACACCCGCAGGAGAGTGTCCTCGCTGGGACTCGAGGCTCCTGGCTTGGCCTGGCAGTGGGCCAGCCTGACCGCCAGCCCGCGTGCAGTGGTGCTCCCTGAAGGCCCAGTGGGCTCAGGGCAGCAGTGGTGACTGACGGGAATAAACCAGGACAGCTGCTGCCTGCCTGCTTGCACTCTGTCCTTCCTCCCCTGTGAGCGCCTCCTCCTGCCTGCCTCTGGGTCCAGGGGAGAAGGGAAGGGGGTGTAGGAGCTATGGCCCCTGGGGAGGGGACTGTGCCCAGACGTGGACCCGGCCTGGCCTCCTGCCTCACTCAGGGGCTGGGGTGTGTTCAGGCCCCGGGAGACAGCCCTGTCTGCAGCCAGGGTTAGGGTTAGGCCCCTGGTCCCTGTCCTGTCCAGGGGCACAGGCAAGCTCCGCCTGCGTGGGGGTGGGGACAGCCCCGCTTGCCTGGGCCTGGATGGAGGCCGGCGGGGCGGGGCGGAGGGGCGGGCCGAGGCGGGGCGACGGCGGTCAGGTCTCACAGCCGAGCAGCGAGCGGGTGCGAGTGCGTGCGAGTGCGGAGCGCGATGGGGCAGATCGAGTGGGCCATGTGGGCCAACGAGCAGGCGCTGGCGTCCGGCCTGAGTGAGTGCGCGCCCAGCGGGGTGGGCAGGGGCCAGCACCCGAGGCGCGGACGCCCGGAGAGGCCCGGAGGAGGAAGTGCCTCTGGGCCCCGATGGTTTCCGGGTCGCTGGGAAAGCCCCCGCCCCGCTCGTGGGATAGAGCAGGGGTGGGTGGGCGCAGGGCCAGGCTGGGCTCCCTCGGGGGTGTGCAGTGGGGAGGGGCACTACCCCCTCCCCCTGGTGTGGCGGAGGGGGCTCAGTCCTGGGTGGGCAAGCCTGGGTGGGGGAGGGTGGCCGACATCAGTGGGCTCTGTAGGGTGCTCTGGGGCACTGCCAGAGGCGCAGGGTGTTGGGTGGGAAGGGGCCAGCTGGGGAGAGCTTGGTGGGCACTGCCCTGACTTGCAAGGGCCAGCAGCATGGTGGGGAGCACAGAAGGCCCTGTGGGACTGCCACCTGCCTGCCTCACACAGCTGCAACTTCCTCTTCCCTCCCAGCCACCCCAGGAAGTGGCAGGCCTGGGGGTCCCAGCCCCCATTAGAGCAGGTAGCCATGTCCAGGGATGCAGGCCCTGCCGGAGTCGTCTCTGACCGGGCAGTAGGAACCTCCAGCCACACTCAGCCTCTGCCCCAGGCCAGGCAGTGAGCCCACGGCAAGATATGGCAGCTGGCTCTGGCCACGTCCTGCCCACCCCAGCAGCACAGTGACCCCCTGCAGTGCCCTGCCACCGGCTCCCTGGCATCACTGAGTCCCAGCCTGGCTTGGCAGCCTCTGAACCCTACCGGGGACCGTGAGCCCCACCCTGCCTCTCACTGCTCCCTGCACAAGCAGGGAGTGTCCCAGTGGTGTCCACCCCGGCACCAACAGAGGCCCCGGAAGATGACCTTACGCCCTGGAGATGAATCAGCTGCCCTGGGTGACTGCAGGAGGAAGCACTCTGTCTTCCCACAGTGCCCACAGGGACAAACGGCAGAGTTAAACGGCAGTGTGGGGTCGGAGGGCTCAGGAGCGCACGCAGTGGGGTCTAGGACGCAGCTGTGGCTGAGCTGCCAGCAGCAAGCTGGGCACAGCGTCATGCCCAGAGCATCTGCAGAGGTGGGGCCTCTGGCCTGGAGACACGGGCAGGGGGTCAGGACAGCGGGGCAGGGGGCCTTCCTCCTCCTAGGAAGCCACGGACCAACCCAGAGCCTGTCAGTTCTGGCTTCTGCCAGCGCCTGCCCGGAAGGTGCAACAAGGGCTCCAGCACTCGGGCCCCCATCCACAGGGGAGAGCTGGTTCACTCCCAGCCAGGAGCCTCTTCTGGCCTCCCACCTCCCACACGGGCACAGGGGCCCAAGCACCTGGGCCAAACTCCTCCCCTTCCTAGGTCATCAGTGGGGAAGCAGGCAGGGGGAACTGCAGGGACTCCAACTGGCACCGTATGGGATGCTGGTGACAGGCAGCAGCTTCACGCACTAGGCCACAATGTCAACTGCAGCTTCTGGGTCACAGGGAACACTCATACCGACAAACCTCAGGGGAACACGGGCAGGAGATTCCACAACCCCATGGGAGCTGGCAGCACATGCTCCGATACTGCCGCTGTGCACGCCAGGCCCCTGGCTGCCTCTGCAAACCAGAGGGCACCTTACACAGCCCAGCCTGGCACTGCGCTCGTGGCGAAGGGCAGGGAGCAAGCTGTGGGCAGGGCAGGGCCGCGCAGAGGGGCTGACCAGGCTAAGCTTCCAGGAGGGCGCTCCCCTCTGCTGGCTAGCTCCCAGGATGGCTCCACTGCCAGGCGGATGCCGGAAGGTCCCCAACGTGGGCACAAGGGCCCAAGCGCTCGGGCCTTCCCCCGCCATTAGCAGGGAGCTGGGTCGGCGGTGGAGCCTCCGGTGCCCAGGGAGCGAGGGGGGCTGACCACTCGGGATGTTGGGGGAAGCCAGTGTGGGGCAGAAGAGAGGGCATGCCCGGGCACTGCTCACCCGCACGTGCCCACCCACAGTTCTCATCACCGGGGGCATCGTGGCCACCGCCGGCCGCTTCACCCAGTGGTACTTCGGCACCTACTCCATGTATCCTTCCGCAGAAGGCGATTGGGGTGCCATGCGGGCGGGGCTGGGCACCCCTGCGCCTTTCCTTAACCCAGGGCGCAGCGCAGCCGGCGCGCTCGTGTGCCTGCTGGAGTACCCGCGCGGCCGGAGGGCCAAGGGCTCCACCATGGAGCGCTGGTGAGTGCGCCCCCTCGCCCTGCACGGCCCTGGCTGGGCGGCCGGGCAGCGGCTGAGCCTGTGCCCTCCCCGCAGCGGACAGAGGTACCTGACCGCCGTGCTCAAGCTCCTGGGGCCCCTCACCAGGAACTACTACTTCCGTGCCGCCCTGCACCTCGCGTGAGTGGGGCGGTGGGCCCTGGGCGGGACTGGCAGCTGCCGGGGCCAGGCACGAGCAGGCAGTAACTGCACTGTGCCCTCCTCCAGGCTGTCGGTGCCTGCAGGCTTCCTGCTCTCCACCATCCTGGGCACCGCCTGCCTGGTCATCGCCAGCATCATCTACCTGCTGGTGAGTGAGGGCCCCGAGCCCTCCCACGTGTCCCACGGCCAAGAGCAAGTGTTCATCCACCTTCCCCAGGGCGAGGCAGGGCGGGCCCAGAGCCGGTCTCTCACTAGCGGCAGGCGCCCCTGCGGCCTGCCAGGCCATGGGGAGCCAGGTCCTGGGGTTCGGGGTGTGAGCACTTGAAGAGCAGGCTTTGCCTCGAAGGTGGGGAGGTCGGGCTCCCAGGCAGGGTCCAGCCAGCCCCCCTGTGTTCCCAGGCGGCAGTTCGTGGTGAGCAGTGGACCCCCATCGAACCCCGGCCCAAGGAGCGGCCCCAGGTGGGGGGCACCATCAAGCAGCCACCCACCAACCCCCCTCCTCGGCCCCCCGCCGAGGCCCGCAGGAAGCCCACGGAGGAAGATGTGGCGGCCCCCCCCCCAGGCGGCCCTCAGGTCAACCCTGTCCCCGTGACGGATGAGGTCGTGTGACTGTCCCCTATGAGCCCAGGGACGCCATGTGCTACAATAAACACAGCAAACGCCCACGTGTTGTGTCTGTGCGGGGGGCTTTCTGGGGTCAGGGCTGCGGCAGCCCCCGAGACCTGCACCCTCCTGAAAGCCGGCAAGCCAGAGCCCTCCCTGCCCCCTCACCAGACCCCCAAAGTGCTCAGGAAGGGAGTCTGGCTCTGCTGGCGGCTACCAAGGCTCCCCCCCACTGTGGTGTCCCCCACTCTCCCAGCCTCAGCCGAGCGTGCTCCTGGGCCTAGCGGAGTGGCCACTTGGCGTCACCTGTGGCCGACCTGCTGCCCTCCCCGGCCAACACACAGCCCCCACAGGTCTGCGTTGGACCCCCCTCAGCGGCCCCGGCGCCTCTGCACCTCCAGCCCCCACCTGCCACCCCTGCCCGGCCACCTCGTGGCCTCACTGACCTGGCTGTGGCTCCGCTGCCCTCAGTGCTGTCCGACACCCGGGTCTCCGCCCGGTCCCGGGCTTGTTGCTTTGTCTTCAGTGCTGTCACTCGATGGGAGCTCTTCAGCACGTGTGGAACTGAGTCCTCCCAGGTGCTCAGCAAATGCTGCTTCCTCCAACAAGCCCTCCCTGACTGCTCCCTGTTGATATGCCTGGAGTGAGCCACCATTTCTCACCTGGCAGGGGCCAGGCGACCGTCCTTCAGTGGGGGGCCGGGGCAGCAGTTGCGGGCTGCCTGCCGACCGCAGGCATGGGCAGGGCCATCCTGGTGGCCCGTGGCCTGGCAGAATACCCAGAACCCACAGCTGAGGTGGACACGGGCCGGCCGACTGAGGTGCTGCTGCGGCGGGAGGAGACCATCAGCGGGAGCGTCAGGTGTGCTGGGAGCCGAGGGCCACACCTGTGCGCCTCACGCCCCCGTGCTGCCTCGCACCTTCCCAGGCCGACGGAGCACCTGGGCGGGGGAGGCGAGCCAAAACGCGGCCACGGTGCTGCACTCGACCAACGTGTTTACTCCTGACGACAGGCGGGCTCACGGCGCCAACTGCCGAGGGAAGGCCCCATGGGGTTATAAATAACCAATAAATAGACATAAATAGGAGGGTGGGCCCGGCCACCGTCACCGCACGGACCTGGGCAGCACGCAGGTGCAGCCAACCGGCACGCGGATGAACTCGGCCTGGAAGGCGAAGGCCCCGTGGCGGGCGCAGGGCCGGCGGCGCAGCACCAGCAGGCTCTGGTGCAGCTGCACCGAGTTGAGCGCCGGCGTCTCGCGGCCCGTCCTGGCGCTGATGCAGCCCCGGCACAGGCACTCGGCGAAGGCCAGCTTCTGGGGGTAGCGGCTCTCGTCCGTGTCCACGCTGTGGGGCACATGGCCGTGAGGTTCCGGCCCCCTCCTCCCCTCCCTCCAGCCCAGCCAGGCCTTGCCGCGACCCTCACCGGTATCTCCAGGGTGAGATGGAGCGCTGGTGGGTCTCAGCCTCCAACACCTCCTCAGACCTCAGCACCGGGCACTGGCTGGCGGCCTGGAGCCCCTCGGGCTGCCCCCGCTGGCCTGCTGCCTCCAGGCTGGGCACCAGTGCCACGGGCAAGGCCTGCTCCCACCTGGCACTCTGAGCCAGCAGGTGTGGGGGCGCCTGGTTGGACAGCAGTTCTTCGGCCGAGTAGCAGCGCAGGGCCCCTCGGCTGTGGGTGTGGGCAGCCCCCCAGAGGGGCAGCCAGGCCAGGAGCAGGAAGCCAGCGAGGATCTGGGGAAAGGTGGGGGGACCATCAGGGAGTCCTCGCTCCCCTTTCCAACCTGTCTTGGCAAGAGGGGATGTGGAGGCCCAGTGGAGCCAGCTGCCCCTCCCCCCAGCCCCCACTTTTGGATCAAGGACTGGGGTGGGGCTCACCATTCTGGCGGCCGCGGCAGCACTTGTCAGGCACCTGACTCCTGGCAGTGGTCCCAGCGAGCAGCTGGTGGCCAACCTGGCTGCAGCCGGCCTTTATACCTGGGCCACACCTGGGGAAAATCCGACCGTTTCCCCTTGGGAAGTGCCCAGCCCGGAGTGCTTCCCTCTCCTGCCCCTTGGTCTCCTGCCCTGGGCACCCCCACCCAGCACCCGGTGGGGCGTCCCACAGTGGCCTGTCCATGATGCTCCCCCGTGTGTGGGGGGACCTTACTCCCGGCCGCTGCAGCGGTCAAGGCTGGCTCTGACTGTCCAAGCTGATCAAGACAAGGTGCTTGCAGGCCTGGGGGAGGACAAGGCAGGTGTGGGTGGGGACTTGGGGTCCTCAGCTCTGCATCCCATTACTGTCAGTTTCTTTTTCTTTTAAAGCAGGAGCCAGGGGCTCCTTTGGGTCTCCCACCTGGACGTTGGGGACCCAACAGCTAGAGCCATACTGCTGCCTGTCTGGGTGGGATGGGGCTTGGCAGGCCTGCAGGGGACACAGCAGCTTCAGGGCCCGGTGCGGGGCCTGCCCCCTCTGCCTTTCCTGTGGGATGGAGCCAGCCAGCTGGCCTGGGGGGCCTGGATATGATGTACAGGATGGAGGCAGTAGAGGCCGAGGGGAAGAGCACTAGGAGAGCCGGGCAGCTGGCCATGCTCCTGCTGGCAGGTGCTAAACCTACACACTGACTGCTCTGCCTTGGGGGCTCAGAGTAGACCCTGCCCGGGGCTTGACTGGGGAAGCCCACCCCAGCACAGGGGCTTACCTGCCTCGGGTTCCTCCTGCGGACTTGCAGGGTGAAGCTTGGGAAGGGGCCAGGTGCACGCACTTCTGCAGGGCACAGACCACTGCCCAGATCCCGGTCGGGATGGGGCCCTGGCAGACGCCTCCAACAGGTGGGTGCTTGGCCTGAGGCAGGCAGGCCAGGATGCCCTCTCCCAGGGCCCTCCTAGTTGGTGAGTAGAGTGGAGCGTGACCCAGTAAGACCTGAAGGTCTGTGCCGCACCCCCAGCCCCACAGAGCAGCGGCTGGACACGTGCTGCAGTCACCCCAGACAGGAACCACAGTCCTATCTCCTTTGCAGAGGGTCCCCCACTGCCCCCCAGCCCCACCTGCCTGAGGGGGTCATGGGGTGGACAAGGGGTAGGGCTGCAGAGCAAGGGTGTGGGTGTGCAGCGCTCAGGGCCGCTAGCAAGTTGGGAAGCTCCTGGTGTTGCCCAGTCCCACCCATGGTCCCCAGCGCTGCCAGCGGGAAGAGGCCAACACACACAGGGCGGGACAGTCTCCCACGGGCGCTGAGGCAAACGCAGAAGTCCCAGCTTGGGCAAGAATGGAAACCCGACGAGGAGGAAGTGGCAGTGCAGAGGCCCCGGCCCCGCCCCAGCAGCTGCCACCCGCCCAGTGGCCCTCACCTCAAGGCCCCAGGTGTGGGTTGCTGTTGGCTCAGTCGCCCCCAGCCCAGGAGGCGCTGTGCCCGAGCTGGGGTCGGACCTGCAGAAACCCACTCACAGCCATGCTGGTCCCTGCTACTCCTGCCCTGGGATGGCTTCTGTTTCTTATTTGCTTTAGGGGCTAGTGCAATGCCCCTATTATCTAATCCTCTGCTCCACTTCCCATCCAGCTCCCTGCCTGTGGCCTGGGGAAGCAGTGGAGGACAGCCCAGGCCTTGGGACCCTGCACCTGTGTGGGAGACCCGGAAGAGGCTCCTGGCTCCTGGCTTCAGATTGCACTGGCTGAGTTGCAAAAGGCTGTTGCGGCCATAGTGGATAGAATATCTTTGGTCTCTGCTTCCCTAAATTTGCCTCTCCAATAGTGTTTAAAACAAATTTATTCTTACTGGAAAGGCAGATTTTACAGAAAGCTCTTCCATCTGCTGGTTCACTCCCCAAATGGCCATAACATCCAGACCTGAGCTGATCAGAAGATGGTGCCAGGAAGCTTGTCCAGGTCTCCGGCACAGGGAGCTGGATGGAAGCAGTCAGGATACAACCGGTGTCCATAAGGGGTGCCAGTGCTGCAGGCGGAGGGTGAGCGCGGGCACCCAGCCCCTGGCCCGGAGGACTCCCCACCATGCCTGGGCACTGGCTGCAACCTGGGGCCTTAACAGGAAGTTGCTTTGAGGGGGCATAGTACCCCTCCTTGGGCAGCCTGTGCCACGGTTACAGGGTGGTAGCGTGGGCCCCTGGCTGGCGGGAACATGCTCCCTCCCTAGCAGACCCCTTCTCCCTGGGAGCTCTGAAGGACTTGGGGTGCAGCTGGGGACCAGGGTGGAGGGGGCCACTCGGCGGTGCAGCCAGACAGTCACAGCGTCACCGTGCACACAGCTGCTTATCAAAATATTTTATTTTAGGAGAACCCTCAAAAAAGACCCTCCACATTTGACGCCCCAACGACATCCTTGGCCTGTTTTTTTTTTAAGTCTTTTCTGTAATTTTTTTCTTTTTTAATCAACTAAAACAATTTGATGCTTAAAATAAAAGACAGAAAATGTCTCCCAGCCAGAATTTAGTCAAGAATATATATATATACATATATATATATATTTCCGATCCTGGGACAGGGAGAAGGGGAGAGGCCAGTGGTTCTAGGAGAATCTGGGGTTCGCACCGCTGCCGCTCAGCCTGCCCGGGGCGGGGCAGGGGGCTGCTGTGGCGGCTGGGCTGCGGGCAGGGCGTGTACTTTACATAAAATCCGAGCCCCCTGCCCGGGGGCCAGGTCTATCTGGGGGGGCCAAGACCTGACCTCATCTGCATCTCATGTGTGGCCTCTTTCCAGCTGAGAAAACCTTTTCTTTTAATTTTAAAAAAGAACTGCAGCCACAGTAAGGTGCAGCCGCAGACCCAGGCCGGCGGCCTACACCTTCCCAGGGATCTTGGCGCGCTTCCGCGCAATGGCGTCCTCCACCGCCTTCAGCTGCTTCAGGAGCTCCTCGCGCCGCGACAGTGTGCTGGCCTTGCCCGACTTGCTGCCTGCGCCAGCCTCCGAGGCCCTGCCAGGCACGCTGGTCACCTTGCTGGAGCTCTTAGACTGCGGCGACAGCTGGCGCTTCCTAGGGGCAGGTGCAACATGAGCCCCACAGCCCTCTCTGCAACACCACCTGGGGTTCCCTGTGGGGAGGGGGACTCACCTGTCCGCAGGGGCCGCAGGCGCTCTCGCGTTCTGGCCCCTCTGCCGCTCAGCCTTCGGGGAGCCCGGCCGGATGCCCGACTTGCGGTCCCGAGCACCTGAGGACAGGGCCACGTGAGGGCCAGTGGCTCTCAGCACCTACCAGGGTTTCTGCCCTTGACAGCGGGTGTGGACATGGAGTTCGCGGCCGTGTCAGACCCAAGGGCTTGCGCAGGAACCAGGGTCAGTGTGAGCCACCCTGGGGGGGACGGTCAGGCCCTGAGGTGACCCCACCCCACAGCACCTGGGGCTCACCTCGCTCTGGGGACAGGTTTGCCCGCTTGGCCGGAGGACTCTGCCGCTCCTTGTCTGACGGCTCATAGCGCTTCCTGCTCCCTTTGTCAGCCGCCTAAAACAAGACTGACATGAGGGTGCGCGGCTGGCCCAGGGCCCTCCGCCCGCACTGGCGCCTGCCCTTGGCTCCCCTAGGCCTGCAGTGCCCACAGGGCCACCCTCCTGCCAGTGCCCTGGGCCGGGCACTTCACACCGTCTCCTGCCCTGAGCTCTGAGGCAGCTCCGGAGGAACTGGTGGCCCCAGCGCGGGGACAGCAGCCTCACCTTGTTGAGCAGAGTTAGCTTAATCTCCTTGTGGGCCACGAAGGAGCCTTGTGCAGCCTGCCCTGGGGCTGCCTGCTGGGGCGTCGTGGATGCCTGCGAGGCCTTGCCCCCGGCCGGGGCTCTGGTGGACTTGGCCGGCTGGCTGGAGGAGTCCTTCTTCCGCTTGTCCTCCTTAGCCCCGTCCTCTCGCTTGGATTTTCCTGCCGAGGACACAGGCTCAGGCGTGGCTGTCCGCATGCGCCCTCATGGCCAAGTCTACGTTGAGCAGAGGCCCAAGGCACACATACCTTTCTCCTTCTTGGTTTGGGCTGGGGTTGGAGACCTCGAGCTGGCTGAGGACACGGGGCTGGCCAGATCCGCATACATGTCCTCCGAGTCCACACTGTGCACGGAGCTGCTGCTGGAGGTGGCGCTTGACACGGAGGACACACTGCTCACACTCAAGGACCTGCACACACACACACACACACCTGCACGTGAGGCGCTGCCCTGGCTGCGGGGGCGGGGAGTTCCGAGTGCCTGGGCCCACTCTGGTTCAGGGCCACGAGCAGTTTTCGGGGACTCCGGGAATGGACCCCCGTTCCCTTATCTGAGCCCGAAGCCCACATGCTGGCTTGTGTGCCAACAGGGCTGAGCTGCGGAGATGACATTCTGAGGGCAGAGCTCTGACTCGGCCGTGGTACAGAGCAGAAGCCCAGGCGACCAGGGTCCGGGAGAGCTCAGGCTCACCCTGTGGGAGGGTGGACAGCGCCTCAGGGGCTGCAAGTGCACAGCGTGGCTGTGTGGTGGGTGTGCCCCTGCCAGCACACAGCATTGCACTCAAGGGGAGGACAGACAGCCATTTCCACCGGATTCCCAGACCAGGCCCATTGGAAAGGGAACAGCTGGCTGCCAGGATCCCTCCCAGCAGGCTGGCCAGCTTCCCCCAGCCGGGTATGCATGGACAGGGCACCAGGGCCAGCTCTCAGAGCTGAGCGATCCACATGAGTCATGGTAGAGCCCTTGGCTCACAGCAGCCACTGGGATGCCTGCCTGCGGGCAGCGGGGAGCTGGGGAATGACCTGGACCGGGAGCTGGAGCCGCTGTAGCTGGAACCACTGCCACTGCCACTCAGAGTCCGCCTGCAACAGAAGAACAACCCTCAGAGCGGCTGTGGGCTCGCGCAGCTGCCGGGGCCAGCTGGAGCTCCGCCTGTCTCAGGTGACATCTACTGGGGCCAAGGCCACGAAGGGAGGGACCGGCTACAGCAGCTGGGCTGGACACGAGGTTTCAGGTTAAGGCTGGGCTTGCAGGCCCCCACTGCTCAGCCTGGGCTGTCCTTCCAATGGAGGCCAGTAGGCCAGACTGGCATCACCACCTGCTCGTGGTGGCTCCGAAGGAAGCTGGGGCAGCCTGCTCACCTCCTGGGGGGGGTCCTGGCTTGTCGCTCCTTCCTCCTTACTTCCCGGGGGTCTCCCTTGCCGGGCTCAGGGGCGAGAGCAGTGGTTTTGGTGGCCTGTGGTGCGGCAGGGGCCGCGGCTGGCTTCTTCACAGACTTCTCTCTGTAAGGTGGCAGGTGGCACTCACTCAGGGACCAGGGGGCCCAGCACTCCAGGCCTGACCCTGCAGGTTCCCCAGGGTCCCAGCACAGCGGCTTTGCCACGTCCTGGAATCATCTGTTCGTGCGAGGAATGGGACCCACGTGCAGGGGCGCCCAAAGACCCCGCGAGAAGTCACAGTGAGGACTTACCCTGCTCTCCCAGGAGGTGGGGCGGGCTCCCCCTTGGCTCTGATAGAAGGCCTGTGTGGGGATGGAGTTGGGGACGGGGATGGGGATGACGAGAAAGACCGCGACCTGGGGAACCAGGAGAAGTGTGAGTGTGAAACACTTGGCGCCCTCCTTCCCGCCGGGGCTGGAGCAGCCTGCGCTGCCACACAATGTGCAACGACCCACACTCGCCTCCCAGGGAAACCTGGCTGTGGAGGGCTGTCACTTCCTAGGCGTGCTCAGAGCGAGAGAGCTGGAAGCAGCAGGGTCCCAGGTCATGGGGCAGAGCGCCTAGGGGTGTGTGGGGGGTCAGAGGCCCACAGGTGACAGCACAGGCTTCGCTGGCCTGCGGCTGCATCACAGCAGGTTCTGATCAGCTCCACAGGCACTCGGGCGTTGGCAGGGCACATGCCAAGGGCTGGGTGAGGCAGCAGGGTCGCGATGTGGCTCCAGGGCAGCCTGCTTCACTGGGAGCAACCTGGGTGCTGCTGGAACCAGTCGGTGATCACCTCCAGGCCCAGAATGAGCCTGACAGAACTGCCACATAAGGCAGGCGCCTCTTGCAGTAAGGGACTTGGCAGGCCCAGCCCCCCCGCCCCTGGCCTCCGGCGAGAGCATAGGAGTGCCCGGGCAGAGCGTCAGACTGGCACCTCCTACACTCAGATGCCCATTGCTATGCCCAGGAATCTGTTCAGAGCTGTGTCCTGGTCCAGGAAGGACACCTGTGATGCCACTGGGCAGCGTGTGTACACATGTGGCCTCTGGCTAGTTGCGCAGCTGATGTGCCCAGGGTGCACTGCAGAGGGCCAGCAGCCCCCGGCTGGGTTTCCTCAGAACATCCTCTGGTCCCGGGGGAACCATGGCTGGCTCCTCGCCCCCTCCCACCTGGGCTTCTGCTAGCTAGGAGTGACAACTCTGGGGTTCTCTGGTCTCCAGAAGGAAGACAAGCACCTAGCAGACTGCCCAGGCTGCACCTGCTGCCCGGCCTCGCCAGGCCCAGGGACACACCTGGAGCGGCTGCCCGAGAAGGAGCTATGTCTGGAGGAGCGGCTGGAGTAGGAGCTGTAGGAGGAGGAGCGGGAGCGGGAGCGGGAGGAGCCCGAGCCGGAGTAGGACGAAGATCGTGAGGATGACCTGGAAGGGCAAGGAGCCGGATGGAAGCCTGACGTATGCCTGTGTGCTAACCGTGTCCATCTGCACAACTGTGAAAGCCGTGACTTCATACCCACCCTCACCCCCTGCTGGGCATGGCAGGGCTCACCCAGACCCACCCTCACGCGCTACTGGGCACAGCAGGGCTCACCCAGACCCACCCTCACCCCCTACTGGGCACGGCAGGGCTCACCCAGACCCACCCTCACGCCCTACTGGGCATGGCAGGGCTCACCCAGACCCACCCTCACGCCCTACTGGGCATGGCAGGGCTCACCCAGACCCCCCACCCTGAGGGCAGCCACCTGAGGCCTGTTCTCAGGGGGCTAGGCGAGTGGCACGGCTGAGTGATGACCCCACACTCCCTTCACGGCAGCCTGCCCAGCTGCCCCCAAGCTGCCCCCAGCCCTGACCTGAGCCGGATCCTCACCTGGAAGAGTTGGAGGCAGAGGCGGACGAGGCTGATGTTTTCCGCCGCCTTCGGGCACGGCTAGGAGACACCGACACCCCGAGCTTCTTCTTGGGGGACTTGGACCGGCGCCAAGGGTCCTTCCATTCGTCCGCCCGCTTCACCTGGGGCCCAGGGGCCGCGGCTTCCTTCCTGGGTGGCTCAGCTGGCCGGCTGCAATCAGAGGGATGGGGTGGGCAAGGGGTACAGATACCAGCACTTCACTCACACACCCCTCAGCAGGACAAGCAGTGCCCGCAGATGGCCTCAACCTCAATGCCGCCCCGTCAGGGAGCCAGCCTGACTGCCAGAGGAGAGGCGGCCTCCGCTCTGTGTCCAGTGCAGAGAGGCGGAACACATCTCGGTGGACCCAGAGAAGCAGCCATCATTTCTTGTTTTCAAGTGTAACGGCAAGTTTCTGAATGTGCAAGCCCATGCTTGCCCCTCTGCTCTGTGGTGACTGGCTGATGGGCTGCCCGGTGTGCCGGACCTCCCTGGAGCCAGGCGTGGCCTCTGGCATCAAGAGCCAACTGGGATGGAAGCTCTCTTTCTCTCTTTTTATAACTCTGCCTTTCAAATTAGAAGTAAGTAACTTTTATAAAAGTGATTTGAAAGGCAGAGTGACAGAAGAGAGACAGAGAGTGTGTACTCCACCTGCTGCCCGACTGCCTGGGGTCCAAACGTGGAGGCTGGGCCAGACTGGAGCCAGGCGCCACAGCTCCCGGGGTCTCCCCTGCGGGCGCAGGGTTCAAACACTGGTTTGTGGTCCTAGGCACACAGTTCAGGGCCCCCGTCACATGGTCCCTCCTGTCCACCTGTCACGCTCGGTCACCATCAGTGGAACCTGAGAGGGGGCGGCACCACATTGTCGCGGAACCACGCCCCTCACAAGTTCCCACAAAGCCCCAGGACAGGGAGGGGCTCGCTCTCTTGGTCCTGTGCTCCACTCACTGTTGCATTCCGACTCTTGGCCTCTCCAGTACCTGCTTGCTCTCTGGCTTCCCGCAGGCTCAGGCCAGGGAGCCCCTGTGTCTGTAGTCCTCACCCTCTGCACTGCTTGGACAGGACAGCGAACATGTGAATGCTAAGATGTAGTATCTCAGCAGAGGGGAGGCCTAGCAGTGACAGAATGTGGGCAGAGAAGCCAGGGAAAGGTGAGTGTGCCCAGGCTGTTCGCTGCGTGTCTCAGGATAGCTTATGTTGCTGGGGAAGCTGGCACATAGGCTTTCAGCTTAATGAATGGACTTGAGAGTAATGACCACTTGTTCCTCTCAGGGTTTCAATTCAGACTGGACTGCCGAGGTCTGTGTCATTTCTACTGGGCCCTGTTACCACCAAGCTTGGTTAATAAAGACTGCTTTACACCCTAAACTTGTCTGCTGTGGTCCCGCTCGCACCCCGCAGCACTGGGGCCACACCTCACTGCCCCCCCGGTGCTTCGAGGGCAGCTGGCCCACGGGGTGGCTTGGAGCTTCTCACAGCTTCATCTATTCCCGACAAAGTTCCACGTCCATTACGGCAAATGTTCTGAGTGAGACTCGAATCTGTATGCAGGGACAGCCTGTGGTGGGCGCCACCAGGCCCTGGCTACCCCGGGGCTGGCCGCTCCTGTCCCTTACCAACAGACCCAGGAAAATGCAACAGGCAGATGAAAACCGAACATACTGGCTCGCTTGCTGCACCATCACAGGGGCCCAGAACTTGCTCCCCGAGCACTGCAGGAGACACGGCCAGAAGGACCTGCCCCAGGTGGGCAACGCCAGAATGGAACTGGCAAACACTCACAGGCAGATGGGAAAACCTTCCCAGGAACCTCTGGCCAACCAAGCGGCTTCCGCACAGACACACAGGGTTCTGCAAGCACTCCCCTTGCCCGAGGTCAGCCGCAGGCACCCCGACTCCCATCTCCCCGGCCCTGAGGAGCGCAATGAAGTACCACTAGGCCTGGAAACTCCAACCTGAATGGTTGCCAAGTTCAGGCTCAGAAAGACAACGCAACGCCCTTCCAGAACCAAAGGCCGGAAACGCCTCGAGAGGGAAAGGAACTAGAGTCCACAGGTCACATCTGGAATGAGCCTGCGAACAAGCTCTGCACCACCTCCAACTGAGCACCCGGCGCACCAAGTGGCTGGCTGTGCCCGCGGCTTGCCCCGGCAGCTTGACAGGGCTGACTGTAGGCAGCCAGGCCTGGCATGCTGGGCACACATGCATGCTCTCATCCTTTCCTGGCCACCCCACAAAGCTCAAATCCCATAGGCCTGGTGGCTAAACAAACCCTGTTCTCCAGGAGTGGAAATCCCACAGCACCACATGACCAACCCACCCAAGCCCCACACTGCCTGGCCCTCCCTCTGTGCCTGCGTAGGCAGCAATCGTGCAAGCTGAGAGGCAACGTCACCTCGTCCCGAACAAGAGCCCCCACCCCTGCATCCTGAGCAGCCAGAGGAGACGGCACCCCAATGTAGGGGTGAGGCCATCGCCTCCAGACTCTGACATGCACTTGAACTACCAGCACACAGGGTCCAGGGTCCTGCCCTTCAGCAGCTTTCTCCCACACGCCTATGCAGTGTCTGGGGGACAATGCCCCACTGACGCTTCCCTCCTCTTAATGTCTGTAGAGGATGTGAGCTGCACACAGGCTCAACAACACACACATTTGCCTGATGCCTTCAGATACCAGATTTCTGCAATAAAAACATATTAAAGGATTTATTTATCAGGCCTGCCGCGGTGGCCTAGCGGTTAAAGTCCTCGCCTTGAACTTGCCGGGATCCCATATGTGTACCGGTTCTAATCCTGGTGGCCCCACTTTCCATCCAGCTCCCTGCTTGTGGCCTGGGGAAGCAGTGGAGGACGGACCAAAACCTTGGGACCCTGCACCTGTGTGGGAGACCTGGAAGAAGCTCCTGGCTCCTGGCTTCGATTAGCTCAGCTCCAGCCATTGCAGCGGCTTGGGGAGTGAATCATCAGATGGAAGATCTTCCTCTCTGTCTCTCCTTTCTATGTATACCTTACTTTGCAATAAATATAAATAAATATTTAAAAAAAAGGATTTATTTATCTTAGGGGCCACGGGTGTGCACTGGGCGTAGCACTGACATCAGATAGCTCGAGGCCTGGCTGCACCTCTGATCCAGCTCCCTATCAGGCCTGGGGAGGCAGCAGTCAGCCCAAGCACTGGAAGCCTTGAGACCCTGTGTGGGGTCTGGAGCGAGCTCCTGGCTTTGGCTCGGCCCTGGCTATTACGGCTAGATGAGTGAACCAGTGGATCAAACAAAGAAAAATAATGTGAAAGGCAGAGTTCCAGGGCGTTGGGCAGCAGACAGAGGTCTGCGGGTGCCAGGGAGGGAGGCAGCAGAGGAAGTGCTCTGCCTCTCACACAGCAACCAAAGAGGAGGAGGAAGAGAAGCGAAAGCTCAACTTCCTGGAGCACTCACAGGTTTCGTTCCCTACCCAGCCCGGGCTCCTGGGAGTGCTCCAGGCCCCTGCGTCACAGCCAAGGGATCACCTGACACCCGACTGGGGGAGAGGCTGCATTCTCACCGAGCAAGCCCCAGGCCTCTGCGAGTTAGCAATCACCCTCTGTGTGTGGGGACAGCCGCCAGGAGGCGCCCCAGGAGCCTGTCTGCCTTGCACTGACCTGGGTCCAGCCTGAGCCCCAAGCAGGGAAGCCTCGCAGGCATGCTTCCCAGCAGAGGGAGGAGGGACGGGGAGAGGGCGGGAGCTGCCCAGCTGGCTGGCCAGGTGTCCCCTAGGTCAGACCATGCCACCGAGCTGGTGAGATGCCTGTCCACCCTGACACCGTGCCCCATCACATCTTGCCACCTCACTGACCACTGTCTGCTAACACACCCAGACCAGATGAGGCGGGCTAGGCCACCCATGTGTCCTGCAGCCCACTGGCCCAGAGCCCCAAGTATCTCACACTGGGTGTCCCAGGGAGCTGTGCCCAGCTCCTGTGCCACACCCATAGCCACGTGTTGCTGACGCCCAAGGCCGCGCGGCTGCCAGGGGCAGGTCTCACAGAAGGGATTTCCCTTGGCACAGCGCCCACCCCAGAACCAGGTGAAAGGTTCTGCCGCCATCTAGAAATAGCCAGGGTGGACGGGGGAACGGCACAGTGATGCTGCTCCCCGCGGGCGGCCTGCACTGCCAGACGAGGGCAGGGCAAGTGGGTGCTGCCGGCCGCACCTCCGATCTGCATTTGTGTGCTGAACAGCACGCAGCAGGCCTCTGTCCTGCCTTTTCAAGGAATGCATGATTAAAACTACTGCCTCTAGTCCGACAGAGGCAAACCTACTGATGAACCTCAGGGAGGCCAAGGCGAGCGCCGAGAGGCCAGGCTGACGTGAGGGTGCCGGGGACAGCCCAGAACCTGGGTGGCAGCGAGGAATTAGGGACACCAGTGAAGCGCAGTGCAGTGAGCCGGGGGGTCAGCCCCAAGGGCAGGAGGCCTTGTCCACTCGGGCCAAGTCAGGGGAGCACCCATGTTCCCACAAGGCTTTGGGTCCAGGCCAGTGGAGGGACATCCCCCACCCTCCCCGAGCCTCTTGGGAGATAGATCAAGTCCTGGCTACCCCACTTCCAATCCAACCCCTTGCTGACCGTGTGAAAAGAGCAGGGAGACGGCCCACGTGCTTGGCCCTGCACCCACGAGAGAGAGACCTGAAGAAGCTCCTGGCTTTAGACAGGGCCAGCTCCCATGGTTGCAGCCACTGGAGGAGTGAATCAGTGGCTGCAAACCTGTTTCCCCTGCTCTCCATGTAATGGCTATGCCGCTGTTTTGCAAGGCTGCTGTCTCGCTCGCGCTGCAGGCCTGGAGAGGTGCTGGGGGACAGCTAAAGGGCTCGTCCCTAGCACCCACAGCAGGACCCAGATAAGGCTCCTGGCTTGAGCTTGGCTTTGGCAGCCATCTGGAGAGTGAACCAGAGGGTGGAAGTGTGCTCGTTTCTGTTGCTCTGCCTTTCAAAGAAGCAATTCCTAAAAGGGAAGGGAGAGGGAAGGACACAAACTTGCAAGAGGGTGGGAGGGGAAGTGAGCTGGAGGGAGGCCTGCCTGTGGGAGCCACCCGTGCTCCCCAGGGACCCTTACGAGGGCACGGGCTGAGGCTAGTCAAAGGGTCAACGTCTTGTCAAGGCGTTGCACACCACAAGGAGCTGTGTTTCATTTCGGCTCTGGCCAGACTCGGGGTGACTGGCGACGATACTGGCAGCTGGGCGTCTGTGCCCACACTGGAAGCCCAGATGAGCCCTGGCTCCCGGCTTCGCCTGCCCCAGGCGCAGCTGTTGTGGCCATCCGTGGATAATGGCGGACAGAAGCCGCATTTTCTCTGCCTTTCAAAGAATCAAATAAACTGAAAAAACAAACAGAAGCCCACCCATGTCCCCCAAGCCGGACAGTCCTAAGCTGACTCAGATCCAGTGCCTCCAGCCTTCCGCTGCCTGTGTAAGGGCCCAAGCACAGGCAAAGTAACGAAAAAGAAAGTGAACCGGAATTCCAGGTTCTGGGATGTCACCAAGAAAATGAAACCCTATCCTGCAGAACGAGAAATCCTATTTGGAAATTAGAGGCTGGCAGGTGTGCGGGTCGGTGGGAACGCGAAGCGGAGCAGCCACCTGGCAGGACACCTGGCCCAGTGGGACAGTCACCTACCGTATGATGCGGCAACATCCACATGGCACCTGTTCCCAACGGCCTCCCCGAGCCGAGGGGACGGCACGGGTGCCAGGGAGACCAGCGTGAGCTTGGCTCCCTCTAAGATGCCAGCCTCTCGCTCCTGTGTACCCTGGGCAGCATGTCCTCAGGGTCCCCCATCAAGGGAGCCCCAGGCTCTGGCGCAGGCCCAGCCCTGGCTGCCGGCAGCACCAGGAGAATGAACTAATGCAACCAACGCTTGCCTCTCTGCATTTCAAATACAATTTATAAAGAAACAAAAATTAAGAGAAAGATGAGTGGAGAGATGCAAAGAGCCCGTTATCCAGCCTTCCAGAAGAGCGAGGTGTGCACGCTACCATCTGACGCACCTTGGAACCGCCGGGTCAGAGGCGGTGGCACCAGGGCTAGCACCGGGAGCAGCTGGGCAAGCCGCCCTCCACATCAGGAGCCCACACCAGGTCACTGGCTCAAGCTCTGGCTGCCACCCTCAAGGAACTCAGGTGGAGGTCGGCCTGTCCGTCTCCAGCCACTCCTGCCCAGTGGGGAGTGGACTAACACACGGAAGATGTCCCTCAGCAGTCCCGCCTCTAACACACTGCCAGTGTGTGCAGCTCTGGCCTTGAGGTCCCCTTTGGGGGACAGCAGTGTCTGCGCACGAGGAACTGCTGCTATCCCAGGGCACCAATGCACACTTGCAGTTGGCATACTGCAGGGGACACAGCTGCACACACAGAACTTGGCTCCCTGGGACCTGCTGAGCACACGAGCATCATGTGCCATGCAAGGGTTCCGGGCGACCACGGTCCGTCCCAGGGGTCACCGGGCTCCAGCACACACGCCAGGGGGTGGGGGTGCTCAGGTGAGGGCGCCCCGTGGAGCACCTACCTGGGGGGCTGCGGGGAGCGGGGCTTCGGCCTCTCACGCTCCTTCTCGCGGTCGCGACGGTCCTTCTCGTCCCGCTTGGCCCGCTCGCGCTCCCATTCCTCCTTCCGCCGCTGCCGCTCCTTGTCTCGCTCCCGTTCCCGCTCCCGCTCCCGCTGCCGCCGCTCCCGTTCCCGCTCGCGCTCCCGCTCGCGCTGTCTGTTCTCCCGCTCTCGGTCTCTCTCCCTTTCCTTGTTAAAAAGCCAAACACATACTCATTGTAACCCCACACGGGGAGCCGACGCACAGAGGGACACGACCACAGCCCAGTCCCCACGACCGCTGACCTTGGAGCTCCAGCTCCAGAGCAGAGCCAACCCATCCCAGCCTGCCGTGGTGCTAACCGGGTGTGCCTCATAGGCATGGCCCCTGCGGGGGTCCACAAGGCCACTGCCACCTTCCACGGCAGCCCTGGAGCCCCTCTGAGCCCATCTGGTATCACCGGCCTGTTCTATGCTCAGCACAGAACAGTATCCTAGCTGGGCCCCCAACAGGTCAGGGGGACAAAGGGGCACAAGGTTTGGGTGGCTTTCCTCCGGCCCGGCCCTGCAGAGAGCAGGTGAGCACGGGCTCGAGGACCCTGCGGCTCCGTCTCAAGGAGGAAGCTGCTCTGTGGGGAGAGGTGCGCCATGATGGACCAAAGGCTGGAGGTCTCTGAGGGACTCCCCTGTACCCCGGGGATGCTCGGGAGACACATGGCAGCCATGGCTCCTGCAGGCTCAAGAGGAGTGCATGTTGTGGACGGCACCACTGCAGTCTTGTGCTGGTGTCAGCAAGCTCACCTTGAGGGGAGGCTCCAGGCAGCCTCCACATGTTCCTTGGGGGAACTGAGCTAGTGCCCCAGTAATCAGGCCCAAGGCTGACTTACGCGGTAGCTGTGGTAGGGCTCTGCCTCCGTGTACTGCACCCGGAAGTTCTCGTACTGCCCGCCTCGCCAAAACCGCTCAACCTCATAGTCGTAGTAGGGATCCGCGTAGGGCTCCATTCTGGAAAACAGAGCTTCTTACCACTCCAGACCACGCCAAGAGAAGCCACCACCAGCGTCAAAGCCCGCCAGGACCCGTCACAGCAACAGGCCCAAGAAGAACGTCACACAAGAGACAGTGTCCCCGGCAAAAATCCAGTACCCCTCGGCTGGCAGCCACAGAGCCTTCCCAACGCTTGGGGACAACGTGCATCGCGACAAACAACAGATTTCAAAGTGAAGCCAGCTCTTCCTGGTGCACTGTGCAGCTGGCGCAAGGCACCCACACGAGAAGCCAACGCCCGTGTGTGAGACTGGGCTGAAAGCTCTAGAAAAGTGGGTGGGAAGCCAACCATGTCCTGGCAGTGACCTGTCAGGCAGAGCAAAACGATGCCGAAGAACAAGCCCCCAGTGGAGGACCAGCCACGGCAACCTGCCAGGGGGAAGAACCCTGACTGCACGACTCGAAGCAGAGAAGACACTCACCAGCCGCCCCGGACCAGGGGTTCCAGCTGCCCCTCACACCCCACCAGCTGCAGACAGGGGCAGAGGTGGCCCAGCCACTTCCCACATGTGGGGTCCAGGGTTGGAGGTCAAGGCAGAGCGGCTCCCGGGAGCCCAGTGGGAATATCTGCCAGGCAGGGCAAGTGGCCTGGCCAAGGCTGCGGGAGGCTTAGAATTTAGCACCTGGGACGCTCCCAGCTCCCATGGGCCTGTGGTCCTGTCCCCTGCCAAGCCGCCTCTGCAGGCCTCGTGGTCCTGCCCCCTGCCTAGCAGTCCCACGGGCCCTCATGATCCTGTCCTCTGTCCAGCACCAGCAGCTCCCACACAGAACTCTGCACAGCCTCACTGCTCACAGCTGGCTGGATCCATTCTCTGTGGTGACCAGGGCCCAGCTCCCTGCTATTTCCAGGTGACCCCGTTCCCAGTGCTCATGCCAGCACTTGGCAGGTAGGAGGCCTGGCACAGAAGCACTGGGGCCCTGCCTCTGCAGCTGAGGCCACCACCAAACCCACCCAAGAGGACACCTGGCAGTGTCCCTGCCAGGGGACCAGAGGCGGGGAACGAGGATCTACCCCAAGGTCCTAAAGCCATTTTCCCATGCACAGTGACTGCGTGGACAGGCACTCTGCCAGGACTCTCAGACACCTCCAGGAAGAGCAGCTCAGGATTGTTTTCCACACCTCAGAGGAAGCCATGGCTGCCCGGTGCACCACCACGCCATGTGCCACCAGAGGCCCTCATAGCACCACCAGGTGCAGGCCTGACTCTGAATCCATGCACCTGGACTAGGTGCACCTCTCCCCCCAACCGGAAGATATGCAAGCTGTCCCAAATTCAGCCCTGCCCTGTCAGGGATGTGCTCCCAAAGGGCTGGCCGCTGCATCCGAGAGGACTGACCCCAGGGGAGCTATCACTCCCCGAGCTCCTGGACCCACAAGAAAGTTCACCTTGTAACTAAGAGTGCAATGTAACAACTGAAAATTTCCTTTCTGGAACTTTCTATTCAGTCTTTCCAGAGTGTGACTGTGGACTGTGGGGACCACCAGACTGTCCCAGCCACTGCAGGTGTGGGTCCCAGGTGCCTCCTTCCACTATCTGCAGGAAGAGAGGTGGGACTGAGGGGCCGGAAGACAGAGCCCGGACCACGCGGGGCACCAAGTCCTCCAACTCCAGCCCTGCCAGCGTGTTTTCTCACATTCTTTACTGTTCCTTTTGCCGGAATCCCAGTGCTGATGACGTTCTAATGGCAACAGAATGTGCAAGAGCAGCCAGGTCCCCACTGGGCCCTCTGCCAGCTGCACTGAGCCCCGGCAGAGGGCAAGCAGCCGCGCTCTGCAGGCCACACAGGCTCCAGGGCTGCGCTTCCATCTCCACCCCCGCCCCCCTGCGTGCTTCCCCATGCCGGGAGGAGAACCAAGACATTTGCGACAGGCCACAGTCACCAGTCAGGACAGCAGCAACACACCTCCCATGGTTCCTTGCTCCTGACCTCAGAGCAAGGGCAGGGCCGCGCCCTCCAGTCCCTGGGACACAGCGGGAGCAGGTGCTGCTGGAGGAAGCCTGGCCGGCCTCAGAGCAGCCCAGGGACTCCGCAGGCCCCTGGCTGTCCCGCCCTCTACACAGAGACAGGGACAGGGCCCCGCCTCATGCGGGGTCTCTGACACACCCAGACGGGGACAGGGCCACGTCTTACGCGGGGTCTCTGACGTCCCTAGGCACACGAGCATTCCAGTCTCGGAAGACTTCGTTTTCTTTGTCAAACTCCCGCTCATCCTCGCCAATGGTCACTGTAAACCGCTTTTCTTCAAAATCAGGCTCTTGTTCCTTCCGAATGGTTGCCTTTTTTAACACCTGCCGTCGTAAGAAGAAACGAGTGTCAAGCCAGGAACGTGACGGGACCAGCAGCAGCCCAAAGGCCTCCCTGCCCGACTGTGGCGAGGAAGGTGGGCCTGGAGGCGGCTCAACGGAGCGTGCAGGAGGGTCAGCTGCTCACCTCCCACGAGGCACACCAAGTGAGCAGGGCACCATGCGCCATGCGGGACAGGCAGTGAGCGGAGCCTCTGAAGGGGTTACGGGGTGACCCTGCCCCTGGGCAGCACGGCCTGCCCATCTCTGCTCCCAGCTCCTGCAGAGCTCAGAGCTGCACCAGGACCCCGTGCCTATAGCTGCTTCTGGCCCCACCCACCCAGCGGGTGCCCGGCTGGTGCCCTCACCTCCTTGGCGTGCCGCAGTCCTCGCTCCCAGGCGCTCTCTGTCGGGGGCTCGGGAGGGGGCGGCGGCAGGATCTCCTCCACTGCGGGCCCGCCCTGTTCAAATGAGAAGGCAAGGGTGCATGAAGCGATACATCCGCGCACACAGGGCTGTGCACACCAACTACTGTCCCCGGTGCCAGCTGAGGGCGACAGCGCCCCCAGGGCAGCAGATGGTGGCGGCCCTTCCGCAGGCCTGAGGCCTCCTGTCCGCCCACCCAAGGCCCGACCTGCCAGCAGCAGCAGAGGTGTTCACGTACCCAAGGGTTGGCAGGCATGAGCGGGTGAGGTCCGAGAGGCGGAGCACCGTTAGGCGGGAAGGGCTCGGTTTTGGTGATTAGGGAATAGTTGCCCTTGTCGTTCACTCCAGGGTGTATAAACCTACAGTTCATTCCCCAGGTGCAGTTCCCTAGGGAGACAAAAGTCAGGTCAGAAAGGGTATCCGGGACCAGCCTGGGTTGTGCCCACGCCTGGAGAGGCCCAGCTGGACAGCTGGCCCCTTCTCCCTGCGTGAGGCCCAAGGCGGGCAGGGCTTGACGGTCCGAGAAGCTGGTTTGGCCAGGGCACACCAGGGCCCCAAGGTACACGGCCTCAGTCACCCTGCAAGGGAGGCCTGAACATGTCCTCCATACAACCAAGGCCCACGGCCTGCCGTGGACACGAGTGACGACCAGGGCAGCTCCTGGACCTCACCCCGGCCCCATGCAGGAACGCCGTGGCTCCCAGGCCCCTCGCAAGCCTAGCAGCAGACACTTTAAATGTCCTGATGCAGGGAGCATACCTCCAGGTCATGTGTCCCTAAGCTGAAAATTCAGAATGCGAAATGCCATGAGAAGAATCTTCCAGCGCCACCATGACCCTCGGCCTGGGATCCCCGGATGGGTCAGCTGGTGCAGCAATGAAGCCACTGGGCAACGGGGCAACGAGCCAGACGCCTGACTCAGCTCCTGGCTGCTCTGACGCCTGGGCCACCCTCAGACGGCAGAGGTGCAGGCGCCTGGCCCAGCCTAGCTCTGGTGGCCACGTGGGGACCTGAACCAGTGGATGGAAGTTCTGTCTCTCTCTTTCAAATAAAGGTCTGAATGTTGAACCATGGGATCAGGAATACCCAATAATGGGTAGCTGGTGCAAATATTTGGAAATCAGAACTGAAATGTGGAACACTTAACCCCGAGCTGCTCCCAGTGGGCCTTACTCTCCCTGGTACGGGCCTTGTGGCAACACGCCAGCCACGGAAGGGACGCAGCGACTTGAGCACGCGATCAGCTCAGGAGCTCAAGACTTCCATGTGGGCCTCTCACACTTGGCCAGACAATGAATAAGCAAGTGGAGCAGCCCGGACTCGGCCGCTGGGATGCAAGCATTAGAAACAGCCAATTAATTTGCTGCATAATGCCTGACCCCAAAATTCCACTGTTTTAGATATTTAATGTCTAAATAGCCAATACGAGGCACATGCAGTGCACAGCCAAACTGACACACAGCACTTCAGTGGCTTTGAGGAGCATTTTCCTGCAGTCTCACGTGCAAATTTTAAATGATTTCAAAACGCTCTGACGCACTGGCTTCCAACCATGCCATCCTCCTTGAACCTTCCTGCTGACGAAGCACGTTCCCCCTTTCCTGATGTAAACTACGCAAACTAAACCTTGTAACATCATGAATACTGAACCGGCAACTGAACACAACAGCATATTGATCTGAATTAAAATATTTAAAAAAATACTTCAAATACTTAAACAGAGAAAAGGCAAAATCATTCCTCAAAGTGTTGAGACATCACACAACCTCACAGGAGGATGCACGTGGAGTTCCACAGGTTCCCCCAGAACCTCACAAACGCACAGTGCAGCTCAAGGCGCAAAGGGCTGCTAACTGCCCACGCTCATGCACACATCCTGCCGCATTCACTGAAAAGCTGCCGCAGCCATCTGAAGGACACTTGGTAGGGAAGTGGTGTTCTTCAGTATTGACACAGATTTCACAACACTACAAGCGTTAGACATGGATCTACAGTCCAAAACCTCTTGTACCACTTGTCTGTGCAGGGGCAAGGCAGCTGCAGGAAGGTGGGAAGACAAGTGGACTATGCCCTCTGCTGCTGGTGGATGAGGCCTTACGCTGCACACCACCACTGCCCAGGTGCTGCCCTTGTGGAAGGTGTTCAAGATGGCGGCTAAGTCAGCACCTAGGAGGCCAGCCCTGTCCCCCTCTACCCCCGGCTCCTGGCTAGCCCTGGCTGCTGCGTTCATTTGGGAGTGAACCAGCAAATGAAAGACCTCTCATCTCTCTGCTTTTCAAATAAAACTAACAAAAATTATTTCCCCAAGCCACCAGAGAGTGGCCAGGCCAGAGCAGGAGGCAGGAAGTGCATCAGGGTCTCCCAGGAGCTGGGAGCCGAGCCAGAAGTGAACCCACACATGCTCGGCCACCAGGCCACCAGCTGTTCCCGGGCAGGTCTGTACAGCCGACCGTCTGAATTCTTTTCTTCCCTTTTAATCCAAAGGCAGAGCTGTTGAGGAAGGAGACAGAGAGCTTGCGTCTACCTGCTCACCCTCGACTGGCAGCAATGGCAGGAGCTACCAGGAGCCAGAAGTCTCTTTCAGGTCACCCACGTAGCCATAGGGGTCCCAACGCTTTGGGGAATCCTCTGCTGCTTTCCCACAGGCAGGGAGCAGCCGGTGTGGTGGGCTAAGGAGTTGATTAGCATTCGTTAAGCTTAGCACCTGCAGGAAATGGGCTTGAGTCTAGTGGCACCTGGTCTATCAGTCTCCTTAGCATCCTATTGTTCTGCTAAGGGGCTGGGGGGGGGGGAGTATATATGGCCGAATAAAGGGAGGCCAGAGAGACTTCTTCCACCATTACTGGTCTCCTGTTGGTGTTTCATTCCCTGACCCTCGCCATGTCCACGTTACTGGCTCTGCTGGACGGTATAAGCTGGGACATGAACCAGCGCCCACGTGGGATGCTGACACCACAGGCAGAAGCTTTAGCATGCTATGCCACGCCAACCCTAATCTGATTTTTTGTGAGACAGATGGAAACAGACACTGGGAGGCAGTTGCCTCCCCACCCCCACGCAGCTGGGACGGGCTGTGCTGAAGCCGGAAACCGGCTTGCCTCACATGTGGCTTTCAGGGACTCATCCACTCGGGTCACTGTGTGCTACCTTATCAGGGGCGCCTGGCAGTGCAGCCAGACCTAGAACTCGGCACCCCTGGGGCACATGGGGTACCCCAGCAAGGCTCTGAATACTGCTCAAACGTGCCTACACCCGAGTGTTGGGGTGCCCAGCCACCTCAAGGGGGCTGCCAGCTCCCAACGAGCAGCCTGGGCCCAGGATGAGAAGGACACCACCTCCAGTCCGGTTCAAGGGCAAATGGCACCTGCAGACAGCTTGGACAGGTGTGCTCCCGGACAACGGGGCTGTGGGAAAATGTCCCACTGCGCTGGGCCCAGGACATTTATTTTTGAAAAAAATCACTGAACTGAGCCCGGTGTGATATAAAATCCTTGCCTTGAACACACCAGGATCCCATATGGGCACCGGTTCTAATCCTGGCAGCTCCACTTCCCATCCAGCTCCCTGCTTGTGGCCTGGGAAAGCAATGGAGGACTGCCCAATGCTTTGGGACCCTGCACCCGCGTGGGAGACCCAGAAGAAGCTCCTGGCTCCTGGCTTCAGATTGGCACAGCTCCAGCTGTTGTGCTCACTTGGGGAGTGAATCATCGGATGGAGGCTCTTCCTCTCTGTATATCAAGCTTTGCAATAAAAAAATAAAATCTTAAAAAGAAAAAACCTGCACCGAACTGTAACATGTGAAATGAGACAGCATGACTGCTCCACAACTGGAGGGCCCAGAGACTCAAACACAAGGAAAACATGCCAATGGTCCAGCAGCGTCCCTGACAGCACCCGCACACCCTCGGGTGCCCACCCTGACACGGGGAGCAGCGCTGGGCAGGTAGGGACACTGTGGGCCTTCACGCAGGCAGGTCTCAGGGCATACCCGCCTTCAGCTGGAGCAACCCGCTTCACCGCGCCGCCAGCAGGGGGCAGCAGCCCCAGCGCCAACAGAGGGACTGACCAGCACCAGGCACCAAGAGGCAGGTCCTGCTGGAGCTACCACCTGGGGAACCTGGAGGACGCCATGCTGAGGACACCCAGTATCCATGTGTGCTTTCACTCTCAGGAGACAAGGGCGGGCTGCGCGCAGGGTGCGAGCTCTGCAGTAGAAGCCCTGGGATGGGTGCCGGCCCCCGGCCCACTGCATCACATGTGAACACGCTGAGACAGGGAGGCCCTCTGGGACTCCTTCACCTCCATCACAGCGCCTGCAGTCAAGCTCCACTCCCATCTGCGCTTCCCGCAGACACACACCTTGGAAGCAGCAGATGACACTCCAGTCCTTGGGGAACCCGGATGGAATTCCGGGCCCCTGCAGGCCATGTGCAGAGTGAGCCAGCAGATGGCACTCTCTTCCAACATCTCACTGCATCTCAACTTTATTTTGTTTTGAATGTAACAACATGGCTAAGATGCTAAGGTTTTTTTTAGATTTATTTATTCTTATTGTAAAGTCAGACAGACAGAGAGAAGGAGAGACAGAAAGATCTTTCATCCGTTGGCCACTCCCCAGTGACCACAATGCCCAGACCCGAGTTGATCCAAAGCCAGGAACCAGGAGCCTCTTCTGGGTCTCCCATGTGGGTGCAGGGTCCCAAGGCACTGGGCTGTCCTCCACTGTTTTCCCAGGCCACAAGCAGGGAGCTGGATGGGAAGTGGAGCTGCCGGGATTAGAACAGGCACCCATATGGGATCCCGGTGCCTTCAAAGCGAGGACTTTAGCCACTAGGCTACTGCTCCAGTCCCAAGATGGTAAGACTGTCTAAGACACTTCTGTGCAGGGCAATCTCCAAGCACACACCCTTGTAAAACAGCTGGGAAGGCAAAGCCAGAGCCAGGAGCCAGCCAGGGTGGAGCTGCACCCCACTGCACCCGGCCACCAGGGCGTCACCTACGGTCCAGAACCGCAGCCCCTCACCATGCGCATCGGTCAGGTGATACAGGAGCAGAAACTAGGACAGAGCTGTTCAGAGGGGCCTCGGAGCCCCTCGGGCACACAGCTTAAACAACACACTGCCAGTCCTTTGTGGATGAACAGAAAGAGGGGACAAAACAGCCCCGCACAGCACCAGGCATGCCAACACCACTTCCGAATCAGCTCCCCACCAAGGCGCCTGGCAGGGCAGCAGAGGGTGCCCAGGTGCCCCTGGCGCTGCGCTCACGGGGGAGACCAGAGAAGCTCCAGGCCACGGGCTCCTGGCTTTGGTCGAGCACAGTTGGGGGTGAACAGTGGGTAGACGATTTCTTTCCTTGTGTCACCCCTACCACCACAACTCAGCTTTTCAATCTAAGTAAAAAACAAAGTTTATTTAAAAAATAAATAGCTGGGCCTGGTGCAGTGCCCTAGCAGCTAAATTCCTCACCTTGAATGCGCCAGGATCCCATATGGGTGCTGGTTCTAATCCCGGCTGCTCCACTTCCCATCCAGCTCCCTGCTTGTGGCCTGGGAAAGCAGTCGAGGACGGCCCAAGGTCTTGGGACCCTGCATCCACGTGGGAGACCTGGAAGAGCTCCTGGCTTCTGGGTTCAGATCGGCTCAGCTCTAGTTGTTGCAGTTACTTGGGGAGTGAGTCATCAGATGTAAGATCCTCCTCTCTGTCTCTTCTCCCCTCTATATATCTGACTTTGCAATGAAAGTAAATTAATTTAAAAAACCCATTATATATAATATAATATGTAATGCATATAATAACATACTCTATACATGACTATATATATAAAGCCTTTCCCATCAGGGGCCAGGCTTGTGGCCCAGCACTCAGCTTTCCCTGGCAAGGTTGGCACCCCGTGTGATTGCCATTTCAAGCCCCAGCTGTCCCACCTCCCACGCAGCTCCCTGTTGAAGCACTTGGGAAAGCAGTGGCCAATGACACCAAGGGTTTGGGGCCCTGCACCCATGGAGGAGACCCGCTATGGACCAAACGGCACGAGGGAGGGGACATCCGGCCACAGCACTGACCGTGCCCAAGGAAGCCGCAAGTAAGGCTGCTCCTCCTGCCTCCAACTCATCCCCTGTGTGGCCTCAGACGCAGACCAGCCCTCGCCCAGCCCGGTCCAGCCAGGGCATTTACTGTCCATCCAGAAGCTTATGGATTTCTGCAGCTCTTGCACCGGGTTCCTCCCTGTGTTCGCACTGCGGCTATCCCAGGCTCCTGGGGCAGGACCTGGCACTCCCACAGTGGATGCTGTGCCCCCCACCGCCAGAGCCAGTTCCGCCCGGGAGCAGTGCCTGTGGGACGACTGCAGACACAGGGGTGGGGTTCTCCCAGTCACTGTCACCCGAGAGCTGCTACACGTTCACACGCCAACATAACGCATTCTGCTTCAATTCCAAGTCTGACAACTGCAAAAGCGCAGGTCCTAAACGACGGCTGCCGCCTGCTTTCCAGGACAGCCCTGCATGCGCCTCAGCGGCCACGCCTGCATCCAGCTCCAGGTCCACTGCTCTAGCCCCACCCGCGGGGGCTCGACGCAGGTGTCACACACTGGGCCCAGCACACTCACACGGGACTCACGTCCCGAGAAGCCTGGGGCTGTTCAGGCCCCATGTCCCAGTCCCTGACCTCCTGAGCGCTCCGGGGTACCCTGTCCCTCAAGCCGCTCTGTCCTTCCTGGCTGCCCATTCGGGGTCTGGATCCAGGAGAACCAAGTGTGGCCTCTGGAGGGGGCTGAAGGCACCAGGGAGCGCGTGCAGGGTGTTTGTACCTTTCACCTGGCCTCGGAGGGGGATGGAATTTGACAGTGGTGGAGGAAGGGTGGGCAGTGCTGCCACATCTGTAAGAGAAGTACAGGGAGCGTGTGTGAGCTCAGGGCTGCACGCCAGGGCCTGGCGACAGCCACCGGGTGGCAGAGCAAGCACCTTCCTGCTCAGCTGAGGGCAGCGCTGTCCGAGATGTGTGCCCCACTGTCGCACCTGAGGCCAGCCCTGCAGGCTGTCCTGTCCACGGCTACATCTGGATGTGGGAGATGACACCAGGCGCCAGGGTCGCGTCAGCCACGGGGCCTTGCCAGTCTGTCACCTCAAACAGGACGGGCCAAACCGCCACGTGCTGTGGCGGCCTGCCTCCTAGGAGGGCCTCCCCTGGGCTGCATCCTGCAGGATGGCACCCTCCTAGCACTGGGCCTGGGCACGCAGCCCCCACAGGCCCAGCGTGCTCCCCTCCACTGCTCCCCCAGCTGCTGTTGGCAGCACACTGCCTGGCTTCTCATCCTCTCCATGGAGCAGCCAGCAAAGGGCCAACGTGCCAAGCCAGGAGCTCCCTGAGCCCTCAACCTGCCCGCCAGGGCAGCCCTGCACAGCACAGAGCCCGCGAAGGACAGGCAGGGGACACAACTCAGTTACCTTTCATGAAGAATCGGCAGGTGGGGCGAGGCCTCACCTTCCTGTCACTTGGGTCCTTCACTTCCCCTTCTTCCAAGTCATCGTCCTGTAAAGGGAAAGTGGTTTTAGCAAGAGACGCAGCCCACGCCAGGCACCGCGGGCATCACACCAGGAAGGACCAGAACAAGATGAGAGACCTGCCACACACAGCCCGTGACCCACACAGGCACCTACACGCACGCACACACACAGCCCGTGACCCACACAGGCACCCACCCACAAAACACACACACCCCGTGACCCACACAGCCACCTCCACACACAGGGCCTAAGGGCCATCCGAAGTCCCTGTGTCCATCTCCTGAACACTAACTCAGCCAACTCCCTGCCCAGTTTCACCCAAGTGGTGACACGGCCCACTCCGTATGTCCCTCGCGGTCCCGCCCATACCGGATCAGGCAAACCTCGTCAACGCCCAGCTCACTTGCGGCATCTCCGGTTTCCGGGCGAAGGCCCAAGTCCCCTTCTTCGAGACAGCCTCCTGAGCCCTCCCCACACGATGGGTCTGCGCACCACACCCCCCGGCAGAGGACTGTCCGCCCACTCGTGACCAATCTTGGGTACGGGCACCGCAAGAATTCTTCCATGAAAATAGCTGGTTACTCAAAGGTGTTTTATAGCAAGCTGGTGCTGTAGAATAGCCATCTTCCCACATGGGCAACGGTTCAAGCCCCGCTCCCACTGGATGTGCCTGGGAGAACAGAAGGTGCACCCACGGGGAGCTCGGCTGTGGCCAGGCCCAGTCCTGTCCAAGTGAGTGACACAAGCCCTGGCTCTCCTCCGCTCAGGAACTCAGCCTTTCACATACAGCACGTGTCTAACACAAGTATCCTGAAACAGAGTCAGCAGAGCCGTTTATTAAAGGCAGACTTGCAAAGAGAAGGAGAGACAAAGATCTTCCACCCACTAGTTCACTCCCCAAGTGGCCACACCACTGGAGCTGAGATAACTTGAAGCCAGGAGCTTCTCCCAGGTCTCCCACGTGGGTGCAGGGTCCCAAGGCTCTGGGCCGTCCTTTTCTGCTTTTCCAGGCCACAAGCAGGGAGCTGGATGGGAAGTGAAGCAGCGGGAACATGAACTGGTGCCCATATGGGATCCTAGCAGTGCGGTGTAAGGATTTAGGCCCTGAGCCACCACGCTGGGCCCACGGAAGCATTTTCTCAGGACACGAACAGGAAGTGTGCTTTCCCTGCCACGTGCTGTCTGCACCAGCTCAGGGTCACACAGAGCAAAGGCTCTCACGTGTCCCTACAAAGCAAAAAAACCAAAACTGTATTTGAAAAGTTCCAGGACTTGACATGGCAGCCTAGTGGCTAAATCCTCGCCTTGCATGCACCAGGAATCCCAGCTGCTCCACTTCCCATCCAGCTCCCTGCTTGTGGCCTGGGAAAGCAGTGGAGGACAGGCCAGAGCCTTGGGCCCCTGCACCCGCGTGGGAGACCCGGAGGGTTCCCGGCCTTGGACCGGCTCGGCTCCAGCTGCTGTGACCACTGGGAGTGAACCAGCAGATGGAAGAGCTTTGTTCCCTTTTCTCCATAAAATCTGCCTTTCCAATGAAAAAAACAAATCTTAAAAAAAGAAAGAAAGACAGGCTCCACCTTCCTTGCCCCACCAGGAGCCAAGCTGGGGAACAAGGCTGCCCCTCAGGACAGAGGCCTACAGGACCACAGGGGGCCGCGCCCCGCCAGCCACGGATCAGAGACCTGGCAACTCCCAGGTGCACCCAAGAGCCCCACACATCCACGTGCGTGGGGCACAGCCTTTCAGCTACAGAACCAACAGGGGGCTGGTGCCGTCACACACGCTCTGCAACACCAGCACCCAGATGCTCCCTGCTAACGCCCTGGGAGAGCAGCGCAGGACAGCCCACACGCTTGAGCTGCTGCACCTGTCGGGAAGACCCGGATGAAGCTGCTGGCTTCGGCTCGGCTCAGCCGCAGCTGTCCTGGGTACAGAGTGAACCAGAGAATGGAAGATCTCTCTCTCTCTACTTTTTCCTTCTCTCTCTAATTTATTTATTTATTTTTATTGGAAAGGCAGATATACAGAAGAGGAGAGACAGAGAGGAAGATCTTCCATCTGATGGTTCACTCCCCAAGCACCGCAAAGGCTGGAGTTGAGCTGACCCGAAGCCAGAAGCTTCTTCCAGGTCTGCCACGCAGGTGCAGGGTCCCAAGGCTTTGGACCATCCTCAACTGCTTTCCCAGGCCACAAGCAGGGAGCTGGATGGGAAGCAGGGCTGCCAGGATAGGACCGGTGCCCATATGGGATCCCGAGCGTGCAAGACGATGACTTTAACCACTGTGGTATCGCGCCGGGCCCAATCTTTTCAATAAAAACAAATAAATCAGGCAGATGTAGCCCCCAGGACACCCACACACCATACCTTGCATAAACCGTGAGGAGCAAGGACTGCAAAAGAGATGTGTGTGAATGTCACGGTCAGGACAGCAGCCTGTCCTCGGTGCCCCTGTGGGAGCACTGAGCAGCCACCTGGGCAGGGCGGGAGCACAGGACCTCAGCAGCCCCAAGGCAGGGCTGGGCTTCCCGCTCATGGCCACGTGCATGGGCGCACATGACCCCTGGTCCTTTGTCAGGGTCACATTGGCTCCCCCAAACGCAGGGCGAGCAGCACCTCCTGGGCTTCTGCGACGGGCCGGCTGTGCTGGGAACCCTGGCCTTAATTCAGGGCTCACTGCATCATCAGACGAGCTGCAACCACAGCCCAGTCCACCTGAGGCCAGGGAGTCCAGGGAAGGACAAGGCGTCGGGACAGAGGGCAGACCTCACCATGGGCCTCGCTCCCATGGGAACCTTCCTCCTCACGGAGCAGCGGTGAATACAGTGCGGCAGCCACTGGGCACCAGGACACCAGGCCTGGACTCCATCAGGAGTGACCTGGCCATGAGGGCAAGCAGCAGAACCCCAGCTAGGAGTAGGTCTGCAAGAGCAGGTGGCGGCTGAGCAGGGTTAGAGGGGTCCAGTACCAGCTCATCCTCCAGGCTGGGTCCCTGCCAGAGTCCGGATGCCAACAGCCCTCCGGTGGAGACCCCAAGGCACAGTGCCTCACCCTAGGGCACTCAACTAGAACACGCCTGGTCCAGCAGGCTGAACCCATGTGCTCGCAGCCCCAGAGGGACGCTGCCTGCAAGCTGGGCCCCTGGGTGAAGGTCTCTGGCCACACAGGCCTGCATCTTGAGGGTGAGATGGCGGAGAGTCCGTCTGAAGAGTAAGTGACTTTGACAAGCGTGCTAAGGCAGGCAGCCGAGCCAGCCAAGGACGAGGCAGCATGTGGCGGCGGGCTGATGTCAAGGTGTTCTCATGGGGGATGGCTGCATATTCAGGGCGCCCACATCTGCCAGCAGGTCAAGGGCTGCTGTCCCACCGCACTGAGCAGATGGGAGCGGGCAGCAGAGCTGAAGTGGGTATGTAGTTCACACTCCCATTTCAGGGGCAGGCAGCAAAGCAAGACCAAGGCAGCTATGGAGGGCCGCTGGGCTCACACCCACTGCCTATGCTGCAGTGCAGCGCACGGCCCTTGAGGAACCCCTCAACCCCATCTGATGGCCCTGCCCAGGTCTCAGGTTGCAGGAGCAGCAGAGCCAGCCCCTGCAGAGGCCTGGGCTCTCCCATGGGTGACCCTGGCACGAGCTTGGGATGAGCCGTGGTGACTGCCTCCTCTACTGGCCTCTCTGTGCCCACACCCTACGGAGCTCTGTCCCTGCGCACTAGCAGCAACCCTGTGCACAGCCACCGCACAGCAGACAGCACATCAGGGGGCCGGCACCGATGCGCAGCAGGTGAAGCTCCCGCCTGCAGGCAGCCAGCACAGCAGAGGGCTGGCACTGTGGCACAGCAGGTGAAGTCCCCGCCTGCAGGCAGCACCCCTATGGATACTGCTTCGTGTCCTGGCTGCTCCGCATCCCATCCAGCTCCCTGCTAGTGACTAAGGAAGCAGCAGAGCATGGGAGCAGCCAAAGAAGTTCCTGGCCCCTAATTTCCAAGCAGCTCAGCTCCAGCTTGGCAGCCATCTGAGGAGTAAGCCAGAGGATGGAAGAGCTCTCTCTCCTTCTCTAACTGCCTTTCAATAAAAATAAATGAATCTTGAAATGAATGGACAGTGGAGGCTGTGAGAGCAGCACACAGCCCAGAGGACCTGGGTCACAGCAGCTGCCATCCCCCCAGACTGAGGAGACCCCCTGCCCCTGCCTCCATGACACTCTCCCTTGGAGAACAGAGAGCCTCAGCACCCTTCCACCTGCTGCCCCCACCCTGTGCAACAGCTCTGGGAAACATCGCTGGGCAGCACTGTGCCCCGACACCCCACCAAGTCCTTCCCACAGAAGCAACTGTGGAGAAGCCTGGCACCTGGCATGGTGTCTCCTCAATGCCCAGGCCATGGCCCCCAGCCCCAGGAGAGCATGCCCCGCCTCACAGCTCTGCTTGATCCCGAGGCTCGGGCCCTGCCGGCCTCCTCGCCAGAGAACACGTCAGCACACAGTGAAGGTGCCAACAACAGGCCAAACGAGAAGGAATTGTTCTGGCTCTTCACCATCTCCAGAACCAACTGACTGCCCCTCCTTGAGGACTCCAGCCTGGTACACAGCCCACAAAGATGTACCTGAAGCTGGGACCTAAGAGCACCGGGGCCGAGCCTGCAGCCATGAGGGGTCCGCCCTGCCCGTGGACCCCTGTGCCGAGTACCCAGGGCCCTCAGGCTGAGCCCGCAGCAAGGCCTACCAGCCTCGAGGGGTGCACCCTGCCTGTGGGCACCCCGCCAGGCCCCGCACACTCACCTCAATCTCCCCATCATCGATCTCGCCATCATCATCCTCCTTCCTCTTGTCCGTGGCAGCCTCCTGGGGCTCCGGGCCGGCCGCCCCTGTGGGCCCCGCTTTCCCGTCCTCCCCGGGAGCACTGTCTCCCTTCTCCTCCTCCTCCTCGGCGGCAGCCTTCTCAGCTTCCTCCTCCGGCCCAGCAGGAGCTGGCTCCTCGGGGACCTCCTCGTCATAGTCCAGCTCGTGCTCGTCCAGCTCCCTGGTGACCGATGAGGCCTCGTCCCTGAGGTCGCTTGTCTGGTCTTCTTCCCCGTCATCCCCCTCTTCTTCACACGGGGAGTGTGCGGGACCTCTGCTCAAGGCATTGCCCTCCGAGTCCTGGTCCTGAGACTTGGCCTCACTCGCCCCGTCCTCCTCGTCAGAGGGGTCCTCCTCGGGGCCCGGCGCTCCGGCTGCCGGCTCCTCGTCCTCCCCGGCCCCGTCCGCATCCTGATCGGACCCGCTTCCCCTGAGAATGTCATCGTCGGAGAGCCCCTGCTGCTCCTCGTCGCCCTCGGGAGAGCGAGCACCCCGCTCAGGGCTCTCAGCCACATCCATCGGGACCCGGGGTTCTGCAAGAGGACACACAGCCAGAGGGTCAGCGGTGTGGACGGCAGGCCCTGGCCCTCTGCCCACTCACTCGGCCCCGGTGGCCCTGCCCTCCCTCCTCCAGGTGCTGAGCATGGGGCCAACCGGCGTGAGCAGCAGGACGCGGCACGCAGGCAGCAGCTGCTCAGGAAGTGGGGAAACCCACCCCAGAGCCCGGGCGGTACTGAAAGCCCGACCAGCTCAGGGGACTCCCAGTCCGGAGCTCCTTCCTGTTACGGTCCGCCCATTTCCAAGGGGGCCCTGCGGTGTTTGCCAGCACAGCCTCAACACCTCCCGGCAGCTCTGTGCCCACGTGGGTGCCCGCACACCTGCCCAGCAGAAGCGTGACTGCCTCGGCAGCGACAGCACCTAAGCCCACAGGCGGCGGCTCCCCGAGAGGCCCGTCTCTTCTTATGAGCCCAGATGGAGTAAGGCAAGTGTTTGTTCGTCTCTGAGCCTCACAGGCCCCATTGGTGAGGCGAGCAGACACCCCCAAACAGTCTCTGGGTAAACAGAGTCCCTCTGCTGGGGCTGGCCAGCAAACAGGACCAGGGCCCACCCAGCATCCACGGAGCGTGCGTTCTGGCACTACAATGTCCTAAACCACAGCCCTTCATGGACGCACTGCACAGGGACATGGCCACGTTAGTCACCCAAGATCCCCTCAGCGTCAGAGGCTGGAACTGTGTTCTAGGTACAAGTTATTTGCAGTTCTTACGCCTCACACGCGCGTGTGTGTGTGCAAGTGACAGACACGTCTCCAGGTTCACGCTTTTAAAGGCCTGGCAGAGAGGCAGCATCAGCAGGCAGGACATAAACCCAAGTTACCCTAACTGAGTCCATATTAGAACCACACACTTGAGATCCAGCACTTCAAGGGCCAGCATGGCTCAACAGGCTCATCTTCCACTTGCAAGTGCCAGCATCCCACTGCCTGTGGCCCGGGAAAGCAGAGGAGGACGGGCCACTTCCCATCCAGCTCCCTGCCTGTGGCCCGGGAAAGCAGAGGAGGACGGGCCACTTCCCAACCATCATCCCATTGCCTGTGGCCTGGGAAAGCAGAGGAGGACAGCCCAGAACCTTGGGACCCTGCACCCGCGTGGGAGACCCGAGAGCAGCTCCTAGCTTCAGATCAGGTCAGCTCTGGCCATTACAGCCAACTGGGAGTGAGCCAGCGGACAGAAAATCTTTCTCTGCGTCTTTCCGTGTCTGTGAATCTGCCTTTCCAATAGAAATCAAAAACAAAAGCAAAAACTTCATTACTTCAGGAGGTTGGGAATAACAGCAACTTACAAACCACCCGGTGCACTCTAGGTGAAGGATGGCAGAGTCCGTGAGACACTGGGCGCAGGGACAGCTCATCTGGTCAAAGCATGCACACAGCTGTATTTATTGCTTATTTGCATTTTACTTGAAAGGCAGACAGAGACAGAAACAGAAAGGTTTTCCACTTGCTGGCTCCAGTGTCTGCACAGCCCAGGCTGCCTAAAGCAGTCCCGGGCCGGTCCTCGACCCCCTGCCTCCTCAGGGCCAATGTCTGCTCTGACGTCGGGGTATCTGGAAGAATCACTTTAAAGTCACCCTGAGACTGCCAAGAACGACTCCGAGCTGGCTGTGCACACTCCCCACGTCCAGGCAGTGCCACCAGGGGCCTGCGGGAAGCAGTGCCACCAGGGGCCTGCGGGAAGCAGTGCCACCAGGGGCCTGCGGGAAGCAGCCCCAGGACATCCGCTGTTCACAGGAAAAACGCGGGCGGAGGAACACCCGTCCTCTGGGTCCGACAAGAATGAAACACTGAGTCCTGCTGGCAGAGCGGTGCCCGACATGGCACTGTCTGCGAATCTCCACGAAGGCCCTGGGCCCTGCCATCCCCAGAGCCCACAGGAAGCCCCTCACCTGAACCACTTGCAGAGTCCAGGGGTGTGACCTGAACCCTTGCAAGCTCCGGGTCTCACCTCCCAGCTAAGAGCAATCCCAGAAACAAAGCTCTCTCAAGCAAATCAACTCAGACACCACAGAGTGTCCCTAAGCCAACTCACCCGTCCCCTCCCTGGCACCACGTGGATGGGCAGCCTGCAGCTGCTGCACTCCGGAGACCACACTGTCTCCTCTACCTTGGCAAGGACCTACCACCACATGTCTCTCGCAGTCTGGAAAGGCATGGAGAAAAGAGAGCCCAACTTGGAATGTCTGCCTACCGCCAGCGGGCCGGTGAACAGCACAGGCCATGTCCACGTGGCCCCCCAGGCCAAGGATGCCAGATGCTCCACCAGTGTGCCAGGTCTCAAGCGCAGAGCAGGCGCACTTTCAGACTTGGTGAGACACAGCACGACCAAGGAAGTCCAAGCAGCAGGAGCCAAGACAGGCTTCTACCTCCGAAAGCCTCCGGAGAGCCCGGCCACGGCAGCTCCTCTGGACAGCCCTCTGGGTCTCCTGCAGCACTCAGCAGTAATCAGGCGGCCGCTCCACCACCACCAAACCACCCACAGCCGCTCCCGGGTGGCTGCTCCGATTGCTCCCATCGGAGGCGTCCCCCACCCATAGTCACAGCTTCTGCACCCAGCACAAGCAGCCTGGCCTTCAGGGGCTGGGGGAGCATCCCTGTCTCCCTGTCTCCCTCTCTCATTCCACACTACTTCCCAGCCTTCTCACTTTTCCTACATACAGGAAGGTTGGCTGTCTGATCTGCTACCTCTAAGGTCCCGATGACTTCAGGGACACCCATCATCTACGGCGCTCCACTTGTCTCAAGCCCAAACACCAGTCATACCGACGACAGCTCAACCCAGACACCCTCCCTAGCACAGGGACCATGCAAGGAGGACAGCACGGGGTAGCAGGGACAAAGAACCCACGAGGCCCACACGCTCTTCCGTCTGACGGAGGAAGCGTCCTCACCCTCAGAGTGCAGTCAGCTTGGCACCCCCAGGGAGGCCTGGGGACCGGGCCTCTGTCCCGGGACAGAGGGGACCCCAGACCTTGGAGAACACGCCCCTCCCAACAAGCCCAGGGCCACTTGCACTGTGGACTCCCAGCTTGGTTTACTGGGTATGTCTGCCCCCACAAGGCACTGACTCTATGAGCCCGTGGGCTCTGCTGACCAGATGCCACCTTGTCCACGCAGCCTCCTTTGGCTCACTGTGCAAGCTGTCCACAGGGGACACCTGCCAGAGAAAACCACACCCCAAGAAAATGAAACACTGTGGCGTGCCCAAGGTGCCACGAGGGCATCGGGCTCCACATAGGTACCAGGCGGAAAAGTCACAGCCACCCAGGTGTAAGCTGTGACCCATGGGGTCCCCTGGTCATGCTGCCTTCAGCCTTGGACCCACATGCCCACTACACCCAGCAGGTTTCCGGAGTCACTGCCGTGCTGGGCTGGGGTTGGGGTTAGGTCAGACAAGCGCCCACAGAGGGAGTGCAGCCTGTGGACAGCTCCCTGGTGCTACCCAAGCCCGGACAGGTCCTGGCCAACAGATTCAGCCTGGGACAGCCCCTGCATGCACACCAGGGAGTGGAACCTCGCCAAGGGACCCGTGGAGGCTGTGCGGCCCGCCGAGAGCTTTATCCACAGTGTGATGGACCAGTCAGGGTCTCCGCTGTGCGACAAGAGAGGGGACTCCAGGGCCCTCCAAACCCACACGGCACTGCCCATGCCCAGCACGGGGATCCTCCACGTGCGAGGGTGACCCGCTTAAAACAACCTGTGGCAGGAAAAGTCAACACTCTCCAGGCGCCCGCTGTGAGAGGCCCTGCGGGACACAGCCCTGGCTCCACCGGACCCCCAATCCCTGAGCTCCTCCAACTCCTGAGGCCCCCGAGCCGCCCGATCTCCTGGTACCCCTAGGATCCCCGAGCTCCCCCGGCACCCGGAGCTCCTCTGGAACTCTGAGTTCCCCGCACCCTGAGACCCCCCAGCACCCCGGGATCCCAGAGCACCCCGAGCTTCCCCGGCACCCCGAGCTCCCCCAGCATCCCGAGCCCTCCGGGATCCCAGAGCACCCCAGGATCCCAGAGCCCCCCGGGATCCCAGAGCACCCCGAGCTTCCAGAGCCCCCCAGGATCCCAGAGCACCCCAAGCTTCCCCGGCACCCCGAGCTCCCCCAGCATCCCGAGCCCTCCGGGATCCCAGAGCACCCCAGGATCCCAGAGCCCCCCGGGATCCCAGAGCACCCCGAGCTTCCAGAGCCCCCCAGGATCCCAGAGCACCCCGAGCTCCCAGGGATCCCAGAGCTCCGTCAGCTCCTTCAGCACCCCGAGATCCTAGAGCACCCCCAGCTCCCCGGTCCGGCGAGCGCCGCCAGCAGCCGCCGCGCGAGTGGCCCGGAAGAGAAACGACAGCGGCGGGCGCGCTCGCAGCGCGGCGGGGCCCGGCCCGCGCCGCCCCGGCCCCCACTTCCCGGCCGCCCGCCACTCACCTCAGCGCGAGGGCGGGGAGGAGGCCACGGTGCCGCGGACAGGACGCTCCTCGGTCTTTCCGCTTACCACAGGCTCCGGCTGTCGGGCAGGCGCGGGCGGAACAAACGGGCTCCACTACCCGCGGAGGACGGCCATTGTGCGACGTCATCAGGCCGCGACCGCCGTCCGGCAGGCAGGCGGGCTTCCCTCTGCCGCTCCGCCCCCGCGACCGCTTCCTTCCGGCCCCGCCCGCGCGGTGCGCTGCCCCGGCGCAGGCGCCGCCAGACGCCCCGCCCATCTGGGGGCGGAACCCGAGGCCGAAGCTGTGCTCCCGGATGGCGCCTGCGCGGAGCTGCCTGGTCAGGGGACGGGCGCGGCGCGAGGTGCACTGGGGATGCTGTGGGGTGTAGAGGGGTGCTGTGGGGTGCAGAAGAGGTGTTGTGGGGTGCAGCGGGGTGCTGTGGGGTGCAGCGGGTATGATGTGAGGTGCAGGAGAGGTGTTGTGAGGTGCAGAGAGGTGGTGTGGGGTGCAGCGGGTATGATGTGGGGTGCAGAGGGGTGCCGTGGGTGCAGCAGGCATGCTGTGAGGTGCAGCAGGATGCTGTGGGGTGCAGCGGGTATGATGTGAGGTGCAGAGGGGTGCTGTGAGGGTGCAGAGGGGACACTGGGGTGCAGCAGGTATGATGTGGGGTGCAGAGGGGTGCTGTAGGGTGCAGAGGGGTGATGTGGGGGTACATTGGGCATGCTGTGGGGTGCAGAGGGGACGCCGTGGGGTCACCCTTGGAATGGGAGCCTGCAAGAGAAGCATCAGCACCCACTGACCGCCCGCTGCCTGGAGATGGTGAGGAGGACACAGCTGTGCCTCCAAGGAAAAATGGCACACAGCCCTGGCTCCACGGGCTTGCCCCAGGACTGGCAGCTTCTCCGTGGTGAAGACTGGGCGCCTGGCACAGCCTGGGGTGCCCCCCGGAGACCCTCGGTCAGAGGTGGGCAGACAGAGACACCCTACAGGAGGGGACCTTGCAGAGGACCCACCAGACCAGCCTGTGTGTGACCCAGTGCCCAGGGGCGTGGCTGGTGGGCTGGCCACAAGTCCAGCTGGCTTCCTTAGGCCACTACAAGAGCACACGAGAGCATGTTCTTAGATGTGGCTGGCTCTTTGGGTCAGGAAAGGCCAAGTGACTGATACGAGGAAATGGGCAGCTGGGCCTGGAGGGGCAGGGCGTGGGTTGTTGCCCAGGAGGTGTCGGGGGTGGGGGGAGGACAGCCTGTGAGTCCGGACCTGGCATTGGGATGTGTGTGCTGTGTCAGCCTCAAGAGCAAGTGCAGGTTCTCTGCCGTGCACTGCGACGTGGCCCGAGCAGGCAGGCTGCAGGACAAGGCCTCGGGGACCAGCTCTCCCTCCCCAGAGGAGCCTTGGACAGTGTCCCAGCAGTCTCTTCCCTCATGTCAAGGACCACTGAGGCCTGCAGCATGCTCCCTCAGCATGCAGACAAGGATGTCCAGCCGTGAAGGGTGGCTGAGCTGGGGTCCTGGGGACCTGGAGGGTTGTGGCTCTTCCTGCCCTGAGCCATGACGACCTGGCATGTCTGGGGACTAAAGGCCGTCGTGGATGGTGGGGAGAGTCCTGTGCCTCAAAAACCGAACCCTAGGGGTTGCCGCTGCTGTTCAGAGCTGTGCTTCGTCTGTTTGAAAGGCCCAGTTACAGAGAGAATTCTTCCATGCCCCAAACGACCGAAGTAGCCAGAGTTTGGCTGGTCCAGCGCCAGGGGCCTCTTCCGGGTCTCCCACACAGGTGCAGGGGGCTTTAGGCTGTTCTTGACTGCTTTCCCTGGCCGTAAGCAGGGAGCTGGATGGGAAGTGGGGCAACTGGGACATGAGCTGGCACCTACATCAGGGGAAGTGGGGCTTAGCCTGCTATGCCAAAGTACCCGCCCCCAAAACCCTGGTGGAGGACGAGATCACTACTGCCTCCGGAGCCTGGGGGACTTGAGTTAGTAACTGACTCAGAGCGGCTTGTCCTCCATGCCCACTCTGTCCCTTCGTGGGGCACGGTGGTGTAGTAGGCTAAACCTCTACCTAGGCGGGGAGAAACTGGGAAACTAGGCCGTGTGTGACCTGGTTCTTGTGGTCTCCGAGGGCCCCTTGGCTAAACTGTTGACTGAAACATGTTTGATTTGTAGAAAGGCTAACCGGCCAGCTCCGTGGGAAGGGCCCTGTCCAGTGTCCAGCGCAGTCAGGTGGAGCGCCCAGGGAACATGGACAGGAGGCCCGTGTTGGGAATTCCTGCCCCCTCGTCCCTGGGCCCGACCCTTAAACAGCGAGTCAGAGATGAGCACGGACCACACGCTTGCCCTGGCTCCGTGGGGGGTTCCAGAGTCCCTCCCCGCTGGGGGTGGTGTGGGTCCCTGGGCTCAGGCCCCTCAAGTGTCTGCCTTGAAAAGCAAGCCTTCTTCCTCCACGGCCTGCCACTGGGCGCAGTTGCTTAGCACCGACTCTAGCCTCTGTGGGCCCGCCAGCCTGGGGAGCCATGCCCAGCAGAAGTCGGGCCTCGTGGCTGCACTGGTCCCGGATCCTCAGCCTGGAGCCTGCCCAAGTTGACCTTCAGTCAAGCCTGGGTGCTGACCCCACTCCTGTGCGGTGGACACTGCTGCTCAGTTTGTGTTGTGCAGCCTGCCGGCCTGTTCCTGCACCTCTCCAGCGCCAGCAGCATCCTGTGGGGCAAGCTCCAACTTGTGAGAGCCCCATGGCCCACCTGGTGTCCTATGAATCGCTACAGCTCTCCTGCCCACCCTGGAAGACCCCTACCCTAGGCCGCTCGGGACTTGGGAGGTCTCCAGGCCTCTGAGAAGGTAGTACCCCCAGGAACTAACCCTACCTCCTCGGCCGCCAGGACATCTGCCCTTCACGGGCGTGGCTGGTCACTGCTGGGTGGCACCTGCGTGTGCTTCTGGAAGCTGTCAGGGAATGGGACTTGAGGACGTTTGTGTTAGCACAGTTCTCCCCGTGTTTCCCACCGACCTTTGGTAATAAGGAAGGGATGAGGCAGCTCCACAGCAAGCAGGCCGCTGCGAGCCTTTCCAGCCAGGGTGCGGTCAGGGACACATGTGGGGGCAGCCCCCCAGCCCTCTGCGCCTGCGTCTCCCAGGAGGGTCCCACTCCTCGGCAGACCCAGATCCGCGGACCCAGGTGCTGCAGGGTGCCCAGGCAGCCGGGTCTCATGCCCCCCCACAGCCAAGGAGCCAAGTGCCTGGCCGGAGCTGGCTCGCAAACCTCTGCTCTTCCTCTGTCTCAGTAAGTCTGCTTTTCGAAGAATTTTTAAAAAGGATTTATTTATTTTTATTGGAAAGGCAGATATACAGAGAAGAGGAGCGACAGGAGGATCTTCCATCTGATGATTCACTCCCCAAGCTGCTGCAACGGCCGGAGCTGAGCCAATCTGAAGCAAGGAGTCAGGAGCTTCTTTCCAGGTCTCCCATGCGCGTGTAGGGTCCCAAGGCTTTGGGCCGTCCTCGACTGCTTTCCCAGGCCACAAGCAGGGAACTAGATGGGGAGTGGGGCCACTGGGATTAGAACTGGCGCCCATATGGGATCCTGGCGCTTGCAAGGTGAGACTTTTTAAGCACTACGCTATCGGGCCGGGCCCCCCCAAAATTTTTTTTTCCTTTAAAAAGTTCCTGGTTGGGCCTGGTATGATAGCATAGTGATTAAGGTCCTCACCTAGAACACGCTGGGATCCCATATGGGTGCCGGTTCTAATCCCGGCAACCCCTCTTCCCATCCAGCTCCCTGCTTGTGGCCTGGGAAAGCAGTGGAGGACGGCCCAAAGCCTTGGGACCCTGTACTCCCATGGGAGACCTGGAAGGAAGTTCCTGGCTCCTGGCTTTGGTTCTGTGCAGCACTGGCCGTAGCAGCCCCTTGAGGAGTGAATCATTGGATGGAAGATCTTCCTTTCTGTCTTTCCTCCTCTCTGTCTATCTGCCTTTCCGATAAAAATAAATAAATCTTAAAAACAATTAGTAAAAAAATGTCCTGGTTGTGACAGCTCCCGTTCTGTTCCTGGTGCTACCTTCACATAGCATGCTGGGGAATGGCCGCGCGTCCCCACGCTGCCCTGGCTGGCTGGAAGCCCTGTGTCCCCCATGGCGATTGCTTTCCTGTGCTGAATGAAGGGGCTGCCCTTCTAGTGTGGAAGTCCAGACCGGCAGCTCCCACCAGCTCATGTTCAGAGCCAGGGGGGCACAGTTGGAGCCTGTGGCCTGTGCTGAGGGTATCCGCTCCCTGGGTATCCTCAAAGCTGTACCCAGATCCACTGGCGGCACCAGGACGAGGTCTGCGTGCAGCTGGTACTGAGCCACCTGCCCCTGGATGCCGTTTTCTCCACTTGAAGCCTGGGGCTCGTGTGAGCTGTGACAGGTGGCAGGGATGGGTGTTGGTCCTGGGTGCAGGGGGCACAGGGCGCTGGCTGGGAGAGCCACTTGTTTGCGACATGCCTGGAGCTCACCAGATCTGCCCACCTACCCCAGGTCTCCACTGTCAGCACCCCATACGCAGGCCTGGAGGAACTGCCCGCACCATGGGAGGCATCTTGGTGCAGGTCCCGTCAGCACCATGGACAAGCCCCCCTCCGCCAGCTAGTGGGCACCTGGTCCTCTCATACCCTTCTGCTAATCCCGCCTCCCAGCAGGCACTGGCCACTGTACAGCCCTCATCCGCCCCACTGCTTTCTGCACTCGCAGCTGCCCCAGGGACAGGGTGGACGGAGCCCCACACAGGGAACCGCTAGATGCTGCAGAGGGCCTGCACGGGGAGGCAGGCACTCATGTTAGCCACTCAGCGGGGTCTGCTACAGCAGTCACTCAAGCATGGACACGGCTCCCCCTGCCTTAGGAGCCTGGGTCTAAGGGCGAGCTTAGGGTGGACACGCAGAGGGAACCTGCATCCTGCTTCCCCCAGGAGGCCTGGTTTCACAGCGTCCAGCGGGCAGACCTCCTTCCAAGGTCACAGCCACAGCTGCTCCCCACCAGGCACCTGTAGACGCGGGCACACAGGCCCACGCTCCACTTGCTGTGGGGCCCATGAGGTGGAAGGGGCAGGGGACTCAAACCAGGCTGTTGTCCACATGTGAGCCCCCCAGTGGGGGCTGGGACTGCACGGCCCACACCAGGGTTTTTCCTGGGTCTCAATAGGCTGAGCCGTGTGCCATGTGGAGTCAGCCCAGAGGCTCCTGACCTGGCAGGGTAGGAGGTGCGCTCAGCGATGGAGGGATGTGGAGGTGATTGGGAAGGGGCCCCAACAGCCCCCAGGGCCTGATGGCAGAGCCTGTGGAGGCGCCCCTCACCAGCCAGCTGGCAGCACTGGGCCCTGGTCAGCTGGCCTTAAGGGGGTGACATGGCCTTGGTGACCGTGTGTGCCAGGCACACAGGGGGCCACCAGCCAAGGGAATGGCCGCGCCTCTGGAAACCTGCCCTGAGCCAGCCTTGACATCAGCCAGAGCTCCCCATGTGCCCTTGCAGCAGATGGAGGTGACAAGAGGGCACACGTGTGGGTGGGTGGTCTCCAGGAACCTCTGGCAGAGGAAGACAGCAGCACCGAAAATGGAGCCAGGTACAGCAAGTGGAGGCAGGGCTGGGATGGAAGTGGCCTGGTTCTCCACACTGGGGATGGGGGGCCATGTGACCACAAATTAGGCGTGGCCCTGTCCAGGTTGGCGGCATGGCCACCAGGTCGTGCCCTTGCCGATACTGGCAGGCAGCCAGGCTGTGCCAGGGTGGCAACACGGGGCCTGGTGGAGAGTCCAGCCACTTCCCGGGCACCTCGGGAGCCACTCCTCCTGCTTAGTGCAGTATGCATGCTTCCCCCAACTGCCACATTCTTCCTGAACATTCTCCAGCCCTTCAGGGCACCAAACTCGGTGTTCAGCAGCAGAATTGTGGGTGAAGGCCAGGATGGTGGCTGGAAACACACTTGGCTCTGGGAGCCGTGGGTCCCATGTCCTACACAGATCTGCAGCTGCCCACCCACAGGTGCTGTGGCTAGTCCTCCCTCGGACACGCGCGTGTCCGACCTGTCCAAGGCTTGGGCCTACGGGTCACCTTGTGTGGTCCACCTGGGAGCCTGCTCACCTTGGCCCTCCTGCCCAACATCCAGGGCAGGTCTGTGCTGCCCTGAGCCCCGGAAGGGCAGACAGAGGAAAGGTCTTCCTCTTTCTCAGGCACAATTTGGGCCGCTGAGCTGTACAGGCCCAGCGGGGCCAGCACTGGAGTGCCCTGGCTGGCTGCATTCATATGCCACTGCTGTCCCTGGGACTCCACTGCCCACTGCTGTCCCCCCCAGCTCCTCTGGCCCGAGTGCCCCAGGACCGTGGCTGCGGAAGAAGCCACAGGCCAGCTGGGTCTGCAAGGGTCTGGGGCGGGAGGCTGCCCTGACCAAGCGTGGACCAGCCCTTAAGTGTCCAGTTACAACCCAAGGGGGTTGGACTCCCTCACGCCAGTGACAGTTGTGCGCAAGTGCAGCAGAGGGTGGCCAGCAGTCTGTGGGAGGCCCACCCAGCTCTGGTGAGAGCACCCAGACCACGGGTGTGGCCTTGAGGGGATCCCACGAGTGGGTCAGGCCTTGGTCAGGCAGGGCCGCAGGACCTGTGAGCTGGCTGCAGGAGCGACGTGGGCGAAACGTGGTGGGTGGAACTACGTGGATGGGCCAGGAGCTGGACCGAGGCAGGACAGGTCATCTGGTGGTGATGGGGTGTTGGCCAAGTGGGTCCCAGGAGCTCTCGGCCGGACAGTGGCCATCGCTTGGGGGTGTGGGGTCCACGGGATGCTTTGCAGCGCACAGATGGGCTGGGGCCTGCAGGACCCTTACTCAACCTCAGGCAGAGCCCAGGCCGGGGCTGGTCCCAGTCGCCAAGCTGAGCTCTGAGGGTTCTGAGGCGTCCTGCGCCCCGCACGTGGCAGGCGTGGAAGCCGAGGTGCGCGGAGGGAGCACGCAGGCATGTGGGGCAGCTGGGACTTCCTGCCACAGCCCTCAACCTGGGCATGTTGTGGGGGGGGGCGTGAGTGGCCGCCTGCCCCTGGCTCCCCGCTCCAAACACCTGCTTCCCCATCGGGCCTTCAGAGATGCAGGCCCAGGAGCATCCTGCTGCCCCCGCACATGAGGCTGTCCAGGGAGGGTAGGCACAGCTGGGCCGCGGGGTTGCAAGGGTGTTTATTCTCCAGGAGACAGGGGGCCGCAGGGTGCCCACAGCCACCTGGCGGCAGAGTGGCCAGGACACGACCTCAGCTGAGCGGGGCGCAGCTCTGGGAGCCAGTGCGAGCCGCTGCCGCGGGGTCCCTGTCCGCCCCCCCCTCAGCCACCTCGCTGCACGCACTCCCGTGGACGCGGCAGCCGTACGGGGGTCACTTCACGTGCTCGGCGGCGTGCGAGGAGCAGTAGTACTTCTTGTGCGCTATGAAGGTGGACAGGCTGCTGAACCGGATGTTGCACAGGCGGCAGTACCGGGGGTTGCCGTTGGGCACGGGCGGCGGCGCGGCGCCCTTGTCGGCGGGGGCCGGGGGCGCGCCGGGGGACAGCGGCGCGGCCGGCCCGGGGCTGCCGCCGGCCGCGCGGGGCTCGGGGCCGTCCTGGGGGCCGCGGTGGGCCGGCGTCCGGGCTTCGGGCCCCGGGCCGGCCGCGGGCTTGCCCCCCAGCAGCCCGTGCGCCAGGCGGAAGTGCTCGATGAGGTCGTCCCGGCCCAGGCCGCTCGGGGGGCAGTAGGGGCAGGCGACGGAGGGCGGCTCGGGCGCGGGCCGCGGCGCGGGACAGGAGTACTGCTTGTGCGCCAGGTAGGCGTCCAGGCTGTGGAAGCTCACGCGGCAGGCGGTGCACTCGTGGTAGTCGGCCAGCGCGGACAGGCCGGGCGCGTCCGGGGGCCGGCGCCGCGGCTTCTTGCTCAGGTCGATGGGGCCGTCGGCGGCGGCGGGCGGCGGGGAGGGCGGCTCGGGCTCGGGGGGCGCGGGCGGGGGGCCCCCGGGCGCGTGCAGCTCGTGCAGCTTGCGGCGGCGGCGCGTGCGCGCGGGGGGCGCGGCGGGTGCGGCGGGGGGCGCGGGCGGCCGGCGCGGCGGCGGGTCGTGGCGCGAGGCGCAGTAGTAGCGCTTGTGCACCGAGTAGGTCTCGTGGCGGCTGAAGCGGATGTTGCAGGCCTCGCACAGCGTGCGGCTGGGGTCGTCGTCCGCCTCGTCCACGGAGCTGCCCGGGCTCTGGCTGCCCTCGCTGCCCCGGCCGGCCGTGTCGGCCTCGGGCGTGGCGGCGCCGCCCGCCTCGTCCTCGCGCGCCCCGGGGCCGGGCGGGGAGCGCGGCGCGTCGGGCTCGGGGGGCGCCCTGGGAGGTGCCTTGGGCCTGCGCCCCGCCGGGGCGTCCTCGGGCACGCGGCGGCCGGAGCAGTACAGGCGCTTGTGCACCAGGAAGTTGCTGAGGCTGTTGAAGGTGATGTCGCACTCGAAGCACGTGGCGCCCTTGGCCGTGCCCGCCAGCAGGGCCGCCGCCCCCGCCGCGCCCCCCGCGCCCGCCTGCAGCCGCCCGTGCACCAGCTCGGACATCTTAGCCAAGATCTCTGAGGCCTGCGGGGCCGCGGGGCCTGGGGGCGCGCCCGCATCTGGCCCCAGCACGTACTGTGGCAGGAAGAGTGCCCCGGCCAGGCCCAGCTCGCTGGGCACCGGGCTGGAGCCGGGCGTGGGGCTGGACAGCTCGGCCTTCACTCGGGCCGGGGCAGGGCTGGGCGGGGACGGGGTCCGCGACGGGGTCCGGGCTGCAGGCTCCCCGGGGGCGCGCACTGCCTCGGGCTCCTGGGCTGCCTCGGGCTCCTCAGCCGCCTCTGGCTTGGTGGTCTTAGGGACGGCCGGGGGCTCACTGCCGCCGTTCTGCGGCTCCCCCTTGGCTCCTCCGTTGGTGGCCTCCACCAGAGCCTTCCGGTCCATTCCTGGAGATGAGGGGGGTGTCAGGCCCCGGTCCCCGGAGGCCAGGGGCACGTGAAGGGCCGCGTGCTGCTGGGAGCTGGTCAGGCTGTCTGCAAGGAGCCCGGCGTGCACCTCAGGCCGGGGGGCCCTGGGGCTCAGCCCCTGCACAGGCCCTCCCCTGCCAGCACTCACCTGCGTGGGCGCCCCCGGGCAGGTAGACCTCCCCCTTGGAACCCGGCTGGCACACCATGTGGCTGGTCACCAGGTGGCTGTACAGGATGTCCCTCGTGGTGGAGATGAAGCCGCAGCTGTGACACACACCTGGGGGCCACGTCGCCACGTCAGGGCCCTGGGGCCACATGACGCCAGCCCCCCACCCTGCCCTGCAGCCCACCTACCGCTCAGGGAGTCCGTGTGCACCTTGAGATGGCGCTCACAGTTGGCTTTGGTGGTGAAGGCCGACAGGCAGATGAGGCACACGAAGGGACGCTCTCCTGGGGGCACGGGGGGGGGGGCGGTGAGGGGTGGGAAGGGGCACGGGGGGGGGGGGGGGGCGGGAGGGGCACGGGAGTGAGGGGGCGGGGGTGAGGGGGCGGGAGGGGCATGGGGGGTGAGGGGGTGGGAGGGGCGGGGGGGAGTGAAGGGCACGGAGGGGGGCGAGGGGCGGGAAGGGGCACGGGGCGGGGGGTGAGGGGGCGGGAGGGGCACGGGGGAGTGAAGGGCGGGGGGGCGAGGGGCGGGAGGGGCACGTGGGGGGTGAGGGGGCGGGAGGGGCACGGGAGTGGGGGGCGGGGGGAGGGGGCACGGGGCGCGGGGGTGAGGGGGCGGGAGGGGCATGGGGGTGAGGGGGCGGGAGGGGCGGGGGGGGGAGTGAAGGGCACGGAGGCGGGCGGGGGCGGGAAGGGGCACGGGGCGGGAAGGGGCACGGGGCGGGGGGGGGCCCTCCCCAGCAGGGTGCTCACCGCTGTGGCTGCGCAGGTGGATCTCCAGCGAGCTGGCACTGGGGCAGCTTTTGCGGCACTGCGGGAAGGGGCACACGCGCTCGTTGGGGTACGGCTCTTTGGGTTTCTCGGTGGTGGTGGCGGCGGCGGCCGTGGCCGGGGAGCCGCTGCCCTGGCGGCTGGCGCAATAGTACAGCAGGTGGGCCTGCAAGTTGCGTTCGCTCCGGTACCATATGCCACAGTCCTTGCAGGGAAAGACGTCCTCTGGGGACAGGAGGGCAGGGAGAGGGAGACGCTGGGGGAAGCCAGTGTGACCCAGCACATGGAATGGGGTCTCAGGGAAGTCCCCTGTCAGACGCCCTGGGGAGGCAGGCCCTCAAGACCCCTGGGGGTCCGGCCCAAATGTCTCCCTAGCTCCTCTGCACTGCACTCCGCCCTTCCCCATTACTAGGGGCCCCAGAAGGTGGCTGAGCACCACCCAGGATCTGACCCTCCAACTCTGCACCTGCAGTACGGCCGGTGTCCCAGCACACCCCAGGACCTGACAAAATGGCAGTGCAGGGCTCCTGTGGGGAGGCATTCACAGCTGGGCGATTCGTCCAGCCCGTCCGGCCCCGTGGCCAGCCTGAGCCCACCAGCTGACCCCAGGGTTCTGCTGCAGCACCCCAGGGGCAGGGCTGGGCTGGCTCTTTCCTGAGACAGCAGCCCCACTAGCCTGGCCACTCCGTCTGCCCGACCCAGTGGTCGCCAAGGGGACCTCCTGAGCCATCAGGGCTCCTAGAGCCCTGACCCTCTGTGGGGTGGCAGCTGCATCAGGACAGGTTCCCAGGGCTGCCACCCGCAAGCGTCTGGGCTGAGCACCCGGCTCTCCAAGCCCTTTGCATCCTGATCAGGGCTGCCCTCACGTGACTGCTGGGTACGCCCAGGGCCAGCCCTGTCCCGTGCTGTTGCATTGAGCCCAGGGCCAGCTACTCACTATTGACCACCGCCGTGGCGAGGATGGATGCCATGCCTGCCTGCTGGGGCAGCAGCCGGATGTCGCTGTTGGCAGGGGCTGGGCATGTGGGCTCTGCTGGCTCCTTCACAGGCTGGCTGGGTACACTGCTGGGCTCGTCCACCAGGAACACACTCAGGAGTCCGCCGACGGGCACTGGCTTGGTGACGTGGCACCAGAGGCCTTCATCTGCAAGGACATTGCTGTTTGGGAGCTGGTGCTGACAGCCCTAGCTCCCTGCTTGGCCACCTGCCTGACCTGCGAGGGTCCCCAGCACAGCCACCTGCTTCTCAGGAAAGGCCGGACATTGGGCAGGTGGGGGACCAGCTGCTTGGTTGCCAGGCGTGGCTGTGCCAGGCGTGGCCTGCAGAGGGCAGTCACAGACAGAGGAAGCCAGGGCGGTTGAGGCCTGCTGGGCTAGGGGCCTGGACTAGCCTGTGCATGCTGGGCAGGCAAAGACACCTGGGCCTTGGGGAGAAGCTACCCTGGGCTCAGGCCCTGTGGGGACCCCATCCTTCCCAGGTGGTGAAGAATGGACCCCCATGAGAGAGCCAGTGCTGACTGGCTGAATCCGGCTGGCAGTGTCAGCCACAGCTGACCCCTGTGTGCCAGGACCTCTGCGCTCAGGGGGCACCCCTGGATAGGAAAGCTGAGGTGCCTGTCCCATTTCCTGCTCTTGACAGCAGCAAGGGTGCTCGTCTTCAAACACTTCTGGCCCCAACTGTAGGTTCTGGCCAGAGGGCAGGAGTGGGAAGACCCCCGTTCTGTTCCCACTGCTGCCACTTCCAGGAGGAGGCAGGTGGGCAGGCTGGGCAGAACCTGGGTGTGAGCCCTGGGGTGTGCCCTGGTGTCCCCTCCATGCCAGTTTCCTTGTAAGGGCCAGCCCAAGGACAGCCCAGTGTCTCACCCCCTCCCAGGAGGCCACCGCTGGACACCAACCCTTCCTGGAGATCTCACAGTTGGCTTCGGCCTGCGTCAGGGCCTGGGGCAGCATCTTTAGCCAGCAGGTCTCGTCCACCACCAGTAGGGGCAGGGCTGGGTCCTGGAGGCGCAGGATGGGGCGTTCAGAATGGAGGAGCCTGCAGGGCTCTGGGAGCTGCAGCAGGACGCCCCCACCCACCCCGACGGGGGCTCCCTGCTGGCTTGCAAGGGGCAGAGCTGCCCCACTCCTGTGGCTTCCACAGACCACTAGATGGGAAACTGAGGCAGGGAGGAGGCGGGGCCCACGCTGTGCTCAGCTGCCTGGTTTCCTAGACTCTTGGGCCCTGGTCCCCCACTACCCGTCTGCTGTTGGTCCTGTCCCTAGGGGGAGGGGCAGGGAGGGGGAGGTGAGGCTGAGGCCTGGGGCAGCCCTGGCCCAGTCTGCCCATCCTGACTTCAGCTACATGGTGGCCTCTCCACTGCCCACTGTGGGCAGCGCCTGTTGTACATGGCCATGGCCATCACTGTGCCATGGCCTTGGGCGTGCTCCTCCCTCCCCTGCACAGTCTGACCACCGTCACTGAGGGCAAGCAGGGAGCAGAGAGGATGGCTGGGATCGGGGACAGGTCAGAGGGAGGCTGGGCAGCCCACATCATGGCCAAGGTGGCTCCTCCAGGACTCCCGCCCTGGTGGGGAAGGCACCCTGCTCCCCTTTGCCAGTCAGGACCCTTGGGCATCAGGGCAGGGTGCCTCCCGAGTCACTAATGAATATTAATGATTGGGGGAGGGTGAGAAAATTGCTGTGCTGGATCCCGCACGGCTGCAGGAGGATATGAGATCTAATTATTCGTCCCAGTATTTCTAACCTCAAACTGCGAGTGACAGGCTCCCAGCCGGCTCGGGCTTATCACTCCCACAAGCAGTGTGTTCGCGGCTCGATAAACTGCAGGCGGTGCAGGCGGTGTGGACCTGTGTCTCCCCGCTCCCCCAGCAGGGGCCCCAGTGCCAGGCCCCTGGATACCCCAGGCCAGGGCTGGGTGAGGGGCAGAGATGCCGGAGCCGGAGGGCACAGGCACAGTGGTCTCCTGGCCCCCTGTTGTAGGGTCAGCCAGGGGCAGGAAGCCCATGTCCACTCGACGTCCCCGTGGGTCCCTATTCCTCTATGCTGGGGCACCCCCAGCCAAGATCTCCATTGCTGGGCACCTGGCCAGGGTGGGCATGCCTAGAGCCCCTGCCCAGGAGAGCGAATAGCCACTCAGCCTCCTGGGGTGGATCTGAGCGCTCCTTGTCTCCCCGACAAAAGGGTCAGTGTCTGGCCGTGCCCGGCTGACCGCACCGGGCCGATAACCATCGGAAACCCCATCTGAGCATCCGCTGCAGCAGCTCAGCCAGGGCGTTCCCAGCCTGGCTGTGCAGTGTGGGGCCCTCGGGGTGGCCTGGTCCAGCCCGTCCAGGGAGCCAGTGGCTGCCTGGGCCTCCTGGGCCTGATGAGGCTCCCATGGTTCCCTGGCCGTGTGTGCTGCGGCCTCCGGTCCCTCCCATCTCCCAGAGCCTGCAAGGAGGGCATTGGGCCCTGGGGGGCTGTGCACCCCACGCCAGATGGTCCTCAGGGCAACTGGGGGAACAGAGTAGGGCGAGGGCAGGGCTGAGGGGAAGCCCTCGGCCCAGTGGGTGACGGGATCTGGGCAGCCTTGCCAGCTGCGCCTTCAGGCTCTCCGGGCCCCAGCTGTTCACCTCTGGCCTCCAGGCAAGAGAGGGGGCCAGTGGTGGGGTGCAGGTTGGCCAGGGCGGGGAGAGGCTGCCCAGCGCTTCCCTAGCCTGGGGCTTTCAAGTCACAGGAAGGATCCCAGCCTCCCACCCTGCTGCTGCAGGCAGGGACACTGAGCTGCAGGCAGGCTGGGCGCCCACCCCTCCGCTTGCGGCCATCTTGTGGAGCAGCAAGCGGCAGCCTCCACAGGCGTCCTCCTGGAACCACTGGCATGGCCGCATTCAGGCAGGGGGCTCGTGGGTGAGGTAGAGGCTCAGACGAGACCATCCTACATGATGAGCCTCTAGTCTAAAGAGCAGGGAGAGTGGATGGAGTCCAGGAGAGGCCGATGAGGGGAGCCAGGGACCTGCCCAGCAAGGCCTGCTGGTGCCACTCACTGCCCAACTAGGGCCCTTGTCTCAAAGCTCACGGCCCTAAAGGGCCACACCAGCATGTAGCAGGGGCCAGGTGTCCATGAATGTCCAGAATGGGCCCCTCACACACAGAAGGGCACTTGAGGAGAGCCTTCACTCAGCCAGAAGCCGCTAAGGCTGTGGACCCTGGCACCAGTCTGGGGGTGGGGAGGTGGCTTTGGCCCCAGCTGCCGCCAGGGTGCCAGGAGGTAGGGATCTGCGTGCAGGCTGGGCCTCACTGAGGCCGCCCAGCCACCGTGAGGGCTGTCTGCCCCAGCTGTGAGCCTGGCTGGCTCTAGGGATCTTGGGGTGGTGGGCAGTTCACGGAGGCCAGACTGCGCCCCAGTCCGTGGCTGGCCACCTTTCTGCATATCTGGGCCATGTCAGGGGCTCGGGGTGCGTGCCGAGGCGTGGCCTGTCCTCCTAGCAGCCAGGGGAGGGGCCTGGGGAAGGGGCCCTGCCCACTCAAGCCAGAATGACTCTGAGCTGCACCAGCCCCTTCCTTCCGCTTCCCTCTGAGGGAAGAGGACAGTGGGGGGCAGGCCGCATTGTGGCCAGGGAGCCTGGGAGAGGGAGACCTGGGACCCGTCAGCTGAGCTCGATAAGGGGCTGCTGCAACGTTAGCAAAAATATTTGGACAAGAAATGAAGCATCGGGAAGGAATCCATCATGTGGGGTGTCTGGACACCTGGCGCCAGGGCAGAGATAGCGCCCTGAGGAAGATAAGGGTTAATCAGGATTTAATGCTGGGAGATAGGGTGGGGGGGGGAGATGAGCCCCCCGCGAGGAGGCGGGCCTGTGGGCCGGGTGGGCGGGCCAGGCGCAGGGCTCTCCCACTGAATCGGGGGGCCTTGGGGTACACAGATGTGGCACCTGGAGCCTTTTCCCCACCTCCAATGGCCCCCAAGAGGCCTCTAGTGCATTAAGAGCCCCACTTCCTAGCTCCGTGACCCCTGCTGTGGCCTTGTCCTTACACATGCTGGGAGTCCAGTTATTCCTCATCCTGGATGGCCACCTGCACCCCTCCAGGGACAGGGACGGTGATTCCTGCAGACCACAGCTACCTGCCCAGCATGGACCAAGTCCACCCCTGCCCTCTGCTGCCTCCCAGGGCCCAGCGAGCGGTCACGCTGCCAGGGCAGCCCAGCGTGCATGGCTCTGCCCATACTGCCACCCCCCACAGGGGTCCTCAGAGCCCACTGCATCCATTGAGGTCCCCACGGCCCGGGAGGGCAGGGTTGCGCATACAGTGAAGAGATGGCCTAAAGCTGCTGAGCCCATTGGGTGACTTCGTGCCCTCAGCTGAGCCTGCACTTCTGCACGCGGGCAGCTGGGGTGACAGCCGTGGGCTCAGGTCCCAGGGCCTGTGGCCAGGGCTCTCCGGCTGTCTCCCCAGGCTCGAGGTCTGAGCCTCCTGCATGCCTAGGCTGAGCCACCAAAGGACACGGAGCAGGCCTGAGCTGTGGCCCCCCGATCCCCTGAGGCAACTTGGTGACCACAGCCATGTGACATCTCTGGCACGTGCCCCTCCCTAGGTCCTTCCCACTCTGCTAGCCTCATGGCCCACATGCCCACAGTGAGCATGGGGGCAGGGTGGCAGGTGCGGGCTGCTTGCTGCAAAGGAACACCCTGAGACTTTCCCAGGGCCGACAGGGGTGGCCCTGTCCCCGTGGCTCCCACCTTCCCTGCATCTCCTCTAAGCACCCCCTTCCTGGGCCCCCAGCGCCCCGCCCCATTGGGTTGTGGCCTACATCCGGGGGCGGGCAGGGGGCTCCTTACCAGCTCTGCCTGCCCAGGGGACGAGGCCATGGCTTTGATGCTCCCCTGGAACGGACCCCAGGCCAGGCCTCGGGTGAGGCCATCCCGGGCCCGCACCTGCCGCTGCCCATTGCACAGCACTGACTCCAGTTCATCTGTGGAGAGACATGGGAAGGGGGAGGTGAGGCCCACATGTGGCACCCCAGGCCCCAGAGGCCAGTGCTCACCATGGGCCTTGGCAGGCTGCAGTCTGTTAGGGCCAGCAGAAGCCGCACGGCTACCCCCGCCTGATACCATGGGGGGGTAACAGTTTGAGGGGTCTTATGTGGGGGGCATCCTGCATTGGGTGGGCTTGAAACCCAACAGCAGAGATCCCAGCCCCGAGAGAGGAGTCACAGGCAGGCGGGCCTCAGCAGGCTGCAGGGGGCTTCTCACGGGTGCCACTCTACACCCCTGCCCATCACCTGGTCCCTCTTCTGGGACAGTGTGGCTGCCTGTGGTCACTTCCCTGCAGGCTGGTCCACACCCCCAGGACCACAGAGGCCCCACGTGGTCTGGCTATGGCCTTCATGGGCTCAATGATCAGATAGATGCCCTAATGGTAGAGATAGCATGCAAACGCACGGGCCTTGTCCTCCCCAGGGCAGATAAGACGGCAGCAGCCCAGCCACGGCCACAACTGTGAGGCCGCCCTCGGCCACGGCCAGGATCCCGGCTGTCCCTGACCCCCTGCTCCTGAACTCCAGCCGGGTGTCCCTTCACTGGGGACGGAAGGGGCCTGGTGAGTGACAGCTGGCCCGAGGGGATGTACTCTCGGCTGTGGGGCCCCAGGCTGGCTCTCTTGCCCTGTGCTCCTGTCATCAACTCTTCCAAGCCCCTTTGAAGGCCGGTGGGGCCAGGGGAGGGGTCAGGAAGCTCCAGGCAGCACAGGAGCCCACAGGGCCCAGGTCAGGGGAGACCAGGGCCCCCCCGCTTCCTGCCACCCAGCAGTGGCCTGGGCTGAGCCCTGTCCAGACACTGCCTGCCCGCCCCACCAGCCCCTGCCTTTCCCTCCCTGGGCAAGCGGAAGGGGAGGGGCTGGGCCGCCTACCAGGCGATGCAAACGGCCCCTGCACCCTAATCGGCTCTCGCGGCCAGAGCCGAGCCTCCCGATAAGCCTGTGGCTGGCATTTCCCCGGCAGCCACTCTGTCCCCTGGGTATCGTGCGGTGCCAGAGAGGGGCTTGGCCGCTGATAAAGGCCACGGCCCATGCTTCAGGGCAGTGCCCACTCCCTGGGGCTGGCCAGGGACAGGAAGACCAGGGAACCCGGGAGACAAGGCCATCCTGACAACCACTCCCTGGCCCAGGGTCCCTGTCCCTGCGGGCTGGACACTCAAAATGCTCACAGCCGCCCCAGAGCTCCCAGGTGCAACAGGTAGCGGGTGGTGCCACCCACAGGGGAGCCTGGCTGGGACAGGTGCCTGGCAGCAGAGGTGTGGCCCACCTAACCTCGTGCCCCTCACAGCCCCCTGCCTCGGGGATCATCTCCAGCTCCCCTCTCTTTATTTAAAATTAATTAATTTATTTTTATTGGAAAGTCAGATACACAGAGAGGAGGAGAGACAGAGAGGAAGATCTTCCGTTTGTTGATTCACTCTTCAAGTTGCCAATGGCTAGAGCTGTGCTGACCCAAAGCCAGGAGCCAGTAGCCAAGAGCCTGTTCCGGGTCTCCCACGTGGGTGCAGGTCCTAAAGCTTTGGGCTGTCCTCGACTGCTTTCCCAGGCTGCAAGCAGGGAGCAGGATGGGAAGTGGAGCTGCTGGGACACGAACCGGCACCCATATGGGTTCCTAGTGTGTGCAAGGCAAGGACTTTATAGCCACTAGGCTACTGCGCTGGGCCAACACTCCCCTTTCCAACAGGGTCATCAAAGCCCCTCTCCAAAACAGAGGGGCTTGACTGTCCTTGAGGCATAACAAGCCAAGCCTCCACCTGCAGCACAGGAATCCATATGGGCGCCGGTTCTAATCCCGACAGCTCCCTGCCGTGGCCTGCAAAAGCTTCGGCTCAGCTCAGCTCCGGCCTTCATGGCCATTTGGGGAGTGAGCCAGCAGATGGAAGATCTCGCTCCTTTTCTTGGTAACTGCCTTTCCAAACACCCTATCTCACCATCCACCCGAGACTGGTCTTCCCAAGATGGCTGACAAGCCCTCACTTTCCTCAGGCCTCCTCACTCCCCGATCCCATCCTGCTGTGGGAACCAGAGGGGCAGGCAGGAGGGGGCCTCCAGAGCCCACAGGCCTGCAGGCTGCCTTGGACAGCAGAGAGCTGTGTCGGGTGACCCCTGACCTCTGGGCAGCCCTGAGAACGGGGTGCAGCTGTGGGGAACCGCGGAGTCACAAGGCCTCTGTTCCATCTGGGGAATGGGCTGGGCGGGCTGGGGGCTCCTGAACGGCCCTGGTCAAGGGCCGTGGTCTGTGGCCAGCATGTGGGTGCCCACCCCTCACCCCGGGTCACCCCAGCACCCTCTTATCTAATCAGTCCATCGCTCCGCCCCACCCCGTGACTCCCAGACCAGCTGGGCCTGGCTCTGCTTGGAGCAGCCCTATCTTGGGATCATGCTGTTTGCCTTTGATAAAAGCCACAAAAAGGGAAAGAAAAAGGGACAAGGGGGAGGGGAGCCCCAGCTGCAGGGTTCCAGAAGTCTGGGCGTGGCCACAGACAGGCCTGAGACCAGCCGCCCCTAACCCAGGTGCCTACGTGCACACCCAGGCCCCTGGAGGGTCGGCGGCTCCCTGACGACACGGCCAGCCGGGGTCCACCTCTGGCTCCATCCGTGAACTCTGGCCTTGGCCAGACCCCAGCTTAGGAGGAGCAGCCTGCCCCTCTTTGTAGTGCCCCTCTCTGTAGTGAGTGCCAGCGTGTGCCTGCAGTCACGGGTCTCTCCCTGCTGCTCCACTCAGACGGGAGTCCCCAATGGTCACCAGGACCAGGATGGAGGGGCCGGGTGCTGGGACGCACACATGCTGTGAGGACACAAGCAGGCCTGACCTCCTAACCTGGGTGCTGGGAGGAGCTGGACCCCTTCGTCCCCACTGCTTCGCAGAGTGGTCGCATCAAAGACAGGGAGCCAAAAGCAAGTCTTCCCCAGAACTTTCCTATGACTGTCCTGTCCCCGAGGGCCAAAGGAGGCTGGCACGCCTGCCTGCCTGCGCTGCACCCCGGCACAGTCCCCCGGTCTGCTGCCTACAGAGTCCCTCTGCCCTACTGTGACCGTCCTGCCCCTTGCCAAGGGCCCTAGGAGGCCTGCGCTGCGGCCCAGCACTGTCCTGCAGTCTCCTGCCTACAGGGCTCCTCTCCCCGCCTGGCTTAGCACAGGTGTCCTGCATCTGTTCCCCGAGCCCTCACTGTCAATGGCTTGCGGCTCCAGAACCTTCTCTGCTGAGGTCTCCTCTGGGACACACACTTGGGAGGCAGGCTGCACCTGCCCGAGCACCCATGGGGACCCTGTCTGACTATAGCACCTGTTGCGGCTCTCACCTCTCATGCGCACCCACTGGGCATGTTGCCATTCCCAAGAGCTGGCAGCAGACGGGACTCTGACAGAGATCTGGGACAGCAAGTGCCGCCCCACGGTGCCCACGGTAGCCGCTGGTGTGGGTGCTGCTCTGGGGCCACAGTGTCCTGCTTACTGTCCTCAGAGCACTGACCGCTTTCCAGGGCTGTGACCCTTGGGCCACAACAGACATGAGAACCTGGGCTGCAGCCAGCCCCCCGGCCCCCTGAGGACATGCCAAGGCCGGGGGTGCCAAGGCTGGGGCTCCCCCGTGGCTTGGGGGCACTTGGCTGGGGTCTGACACCACAGGCTCCGCCCCGCCAGCTGGCCGCTGCGAATGCCTTTTCCTATTGCCAGGAACATCGCTGTATTATTGATTTTTTGACACAAAACAACAGCCTGTCTTTATCGGCCTGAACCCTGCCCCGGCTAATGGAGCACTGGGACTGCCTGGCAGGGTGGGGCTGGTCCTCCTGGATGGGTCCTGGGGCCTCCCTGACCTAATGTTGGCTAGGCAGAGGCTGGGCAGGGAGTGCTGAGCCCTGGGGGAGGCAACCCCGAGTTCCCAGCACCCCAGGACCTGGCATGGGAACACGTTCCACAGGTGTACAGCTAAGTGCAGCCTCTCCAGGCAGCTGGTTCGCTGGGCACTGGATCTCCTGCAGCGTGGAGGAGGGTCCTGTGCATGAGGGCAGCTGGTGGTGCAGGGATCTCATGGGGCCCTGCAACCTCAGGGGCCAGCCTGGCTGAGGGGAGTCCCTGAAGGCAGGGTCTCGGCACCCCTTCCTGCCAGGAAATCAAGAGTGGCTCTATATGACATGAGCAATACCTGCTTCCCCTGTCCAGAGACCGGGCCGGGCATACGAGGGCACTGAGGGCCGAGATGACTGCTCCAGTGCTGGGTCCCCACACCCTGCTGACCAGGCTCCGTGTCCCGAGGTGCTGGGTCCCCACACCCCTGCCCAGGCTCCGTGTCCCGAGGTGCTGGGTCCCCACACCCTGCTGACCAGGCTCCGTGTCCCGAGGTGCTGGGTCCCCACCCTGCCAGCTCGTGTCCGAGTGCTGGGTCCCCACCCTGCCAGCTCTGTGTCCGAATGCTGGTCCCACACCCTGCTGACCAGGCTCCGTGTCCCGAGGTGCTGGGTCCCCACACCCTGCCCAGGCTCTGTGTCCTGGGGTGCTGGGTCCCCATACCCCTGCCCAGGCTTTTGGGTCCCCATACCCAGCACCAGACACTGGCTGCAGTTCTTGGTCCAGACCCCACACCCTGCCCTGTCTGCCAATGGGACTGCATGGCCCAGGACACCTATGAGAGCCCAGAGAAACATCAGCAGAGCCACCAGAGCACAGGGCTGGGTGTGCCCCCTGACTTGGTAGCAGGGGGCATGTTCATGCAATGTGCCCCTGTACAGTCACATCTTCTCTCCTATAGAACTCTTTCCAGCTCTGACCCACAGGACAGAGAGCCCTCCTGCCCACCTTGCGTGATTCCCACACAAATCCTTCCCCAGGACCAGGGCCGCTTGGCCTGCCTGCGGCCCAGTGTGGGTGCTGCCAGTCAGCTGGGACCGCGTGGTGGGCCAGGAGGGATGATTCTACTACGACCGACAGGCCTGGTCTGATAGGATGCCTGGGAGTGGCAGGGGCAGGCTCTGACAGCCATGCTGCCCACTGGACACTGGGCATCCCTGGGCAGGGCAGGCGAGGCGTGATAACATCTGCTGCATCCCGGTCCTGCCTGGCCCTTGTGGGCTCAGGATATGACCAGCCCTCGCGCTGAGCGGCCCCTTTGTCCCATCCCCGGGGACCGATCTTATCAGCCATGTCCACGGCCGCCAAAATGGAAAAATGCAGCAAGGAAATAAAAAGTTGTGCACGGATAGAGGAGTAATAAATAAATAAACACGGGAGCTGGTGCGGGCGTGTGGCAGGGCGGGGCTCCTCGGACCGCTGGGGCTGTCCCTGTGACAGCAACTGGGCAGGAGGCAGCGGGAGCACGGCTCAGCATGCAGCTCCCTCTCTGCCAGGTGGGGTGCCATGCCCACCTCCCCCCGCCCCGGAGACGGAGGGAGCTACAGGGTGCAAGTTGCCCAGTCCACTCAGACTCGGCCACAGCTTCAGCGATAGGGGGCAGTAGTGATACCAGTGAGTCTTGGGTGGCACATCCTGTCTGCCTTGCCCTAGATGCCCCAGACACATGTCAGAGGTTAAAAGACCAGTGGGCCAGGAGGGAGGCTTGTGGGCTTGTCTCCATGGCTCCGCAGCTGGGGGTGCTGGCAGGCACGGGCAGCCAGGCTGTGGGGAGAGGGGGAGGCAGGCGGCCGGGCAGGAAGGGTGGGAGGGCGGAGGAGGAAGTGGCTTGATTAGCCACCCTGGCCGCAGATGGCTGCTCCCGGAAGGTGGTGAGGTCAGTGGGGAGCGCGTGGCCAGCGGCCAGCCTGAGCCCCCACCCGCCAGCAGGCCAGAGGACATGACGGGTGCCCCGCTGCCCCGCTGCCTTCTGCCCACACCACGGCCAGCCCCACTTGGGGAGGCGGCCTGAGCCTAGGACACACACGATCGGCCCAGACAACAGCGGGGGCTGAGGCTTGGGCCCCTGGACATTTTCTTGAGGCTGGGGGCAGCTGTGTCCAGCCGCCTCTGGGTCTGAAAGCAGGCACTGTTGGCAAGCCCAGGGCAGGGGAATGAGATGGTGTAGGCTCTCCTGTGGCTGGTGGCCCCGAGGTCCAAGGGCCTCGGCAAGAGGCGTGGTCAGAGGCAGGCCAGAGGCCAAATGGCTGGGGCGACGGGCTGCTGAGCACAGCATGGGGGCCGCCCAGGGAAGCCCTGCCCCGGTTCCGGGGGTGTAGGGAGAGGCTTCCAGCCCTGCACTGACACCCCCTCCCACCACAGGGCTCTGTGCACAGGCTCTCTTGGGAGGGCAGTCTGCGTGACACAGACCTGTGCCGGCCCTGGCAGGTACTCCACTGCATGCTGGCTCCACGCCTGGGGTGGGGGTGGGGGTCGGCCAGCACAGGCCCAGGCCCGAGCTGCCCCCAGGCTGACCTCGTCACCCACCAGCACCCCTTCCCGACTGTTAATCTAACACAAATAGACCGGGGGCAGCCCCGCCAGCCAGCCCTGCGATAACGCGAAATCCCGGACTGATTTCCCACCCACGCAGGCCACGATGTGGGGAGGGGGAGGCCTCATATTGGCCCACCACTCTGTGGCCATCGGAACAGCCCCAGGACAACCCATTCTACCGTCCTGGGTGCAATAAGTTGGGACGGCACAGTCACGGAGCAGAGCCCAGATGGCCAGCTCCCAGACTGGGGGGGTCCTGCCAGAACCGTGCCAGGGAGGGGCAGCACACCCCCCCGACTGCCCTTGGCCGCCTCCTGCCCCTTCCCCTGGGGCGCGGAGCCTTCCCTGCAGGCCTTTTACTCTGGGTACCCCCAGGAGCCCCGCTAGCTCCCAAGCAGCCGTTGGAGACACAGCAGCCTTTCTGGGGACTTGAGGACTGGGCCCCAGGCCGGGCTTAGCCTGTGGAGACCCCACGACCCTCACGCCACTGCTGTCGGGCCCACCCTGCCCCTGCAAAGCCTTATCCTGAAGGGCTCCCCATGCAAGTGTGGAGCTGACACCAGCACCCCCAGACGCAGAGCGCAGCACAAGGCCTGGGGCAGAGAGTTGGACCCATGGACGCAGCACTCCGCATCCGTGACGCCCACAGCAGGCTTCTCACTTGCCCCCCTTGCCTAGGAAGCCGAGCTGGGAAGTCGCACTGACCCCAGCCCTGAGAGCAGCGGACACCCTGGAGGAGGTGCCTCCTGCCGTGTCGGTGTACCCTATGCCAGGAAAGGTTCCTGTCCCGTTCACGCCACACACGGGCTCGCCCCCTTGCCTGCACCAGAGATGGTACTGGCAAGGGTGGGGCGAGGGTGATTCAGGGAGCCACAGCCTGGGCTGGTGTGGGCTGTGCCCTGAGCCCAGCCATGGCCCCAGGGACAGGGACCCCACACCACCTCTTGCTGCGTGGGCCTCCATCCTCAGGACCCAGCCAGGTGGAGTGACGGCAATGGCAGCCTCTACGTAGACTGTCGCTGGGCCTTGGGGACCCCAAAGTCGGACGGGAGCTGTGTCTCCTAAGACACCTTCTTTCCCCTGACCTGAAGTGGGGGACACTGGGACACCAGGTAAGTCCCCAACAGCCACTGCCCAGCTAGGCTGCAAAAGGGATAGGACCTGGGCCCGGCAGCATGGCCTAGCGGCTAAAATCCTCGCCTTGAACGTGCCGGGATCCCATATGGGCGCCAGTTCTAATCCCGGCAGCTCCACTTCCCATCCAGCTCCCTGCTTGTGGCCTGGGAAAGCAGTGGAGGACGGCCCAAAGCTTTGGGACCTGCACCTGTGTGGGAGACCTGGAAGAAGTTCCTGGATCCTCGCTTCGGATCGGCACAGCATCGGCTGTTGCGCTCACTTGGGGAGTGAATCATCGGATGAAAGATCTCTCTGTCTCTCCTCTCTGTATATCTGACTTTCCAATAAAATAAATAAATCTTAAAAAAAAAAAAGGATAGGACCTTCTGCCCCTCTATGGGTCAGCCCCACCCCTCTCTGTGGGTCAGCCCTGCCCCACTCTTAGATCAACCCCGCCCCTCTAGGGGTCAGCCCCATCCCCCCACCTCCAAAGCCAGAGGCGTCCTTCAGGTCTCAGGTGCAGCAGTGGGACCCAGGGCGTCCTAGGCTCTAGCTTCACCCTCACGTCCCCTAGAGGCCACTGCAGGGCTTGGGATCACCGCTTAGCTGGGACCTGGCTCCCACCCAGAGCCTCCAGGCCTGAGGTCCCACAGTGCACAGTGGCCTTTCCCGGGCAGGTGATATATGGGAACCCTCCACCTGCACTCCCACTCCAAGACTAGAAGCCCACAAGACCAGCTGGGGCCTCTCGGCAGGGCAACAGGGTCTCTACTGGAGGACACAGCCTGAGACCCTTGGGGACACTGAGGGCAGGGCAGTGGCATCAGGCAGGGGACTTGGGAGGCCTGGGAGGCTGCCTGCCATTTGGTGCTCCGGGGGCGCTTCCTGGGGTCTGTGTGTCCTCCTGGGCAGTTGGGTCCCACCCTCCACCCCCCTTCCCCTGCTCCCAGCAGAGGAAGGCCAGGTACTGGACGGTAGGGCCTGTGGCCATTCCCACGCTGGGGAGGAGGACGGCTGGGCCCAGAGATAAGGAAACTGGCTCAGAGAGAGAGGGAAGGAGAAAGAGGGAGAGATGGAGACAGAAGGGAGAGCCAAGAGCGGCAGGAGGGAGGTGGGCGGCCACAGAGCCCCTTGGGAACAGAGCAGGGACCCGCAGGGAAGGGGCTGCAGCCCACCGGGACAGGCCCTGGTGCCCACCAACGCGCAGCGGCCCCGCAGATAAGGAATCCGACGATAAGCGTGGCCTGTGTGGGTGTGATAGGTAGTGGCCACCAGGGTGGGTGGCCACAGGCTTATCGCCCGCACTGCCCACCACACAGAAGCCTCTATCTGCGGGGCCGCGCCCAGCCCCGGGGAAGTTCCGGCCCCCATCCGATCGCGGCTCAGCCAGGCCTTGGCCTCCGGGCCCAGCAGCGGCTCCCGTGGGTCCTCTCTCACCTTCCCTCTCTCACCTGTGTGGGGGTGGCTGCTGTGCTGGCCTCCAGGCGGAGGCTCCCAACTTGCCCTGTGGGATGGAGCCCTGTGGACAGCATTCACTGACAAAGCAGGGCATGGGGCAACTGCTCGGCCTGCAACAGTGGCTATGTGGCCGGTATCCTTTGGCCCATTGGCCACAGGCCTGTAGCTCTGGGCGGAAGCTGCTGCGCACATATTCAAGTCCCTTCCTGGGGACTAGGAGGGTCCTAGGCGGCCGCGGCCCATGTCTCAGAGGCTGGGAGTGGACCCTGGGTTTCCACCCAGGCTGAGCAAGGCACTTCACATTCCCCCATGGGCCCCCACCTGCTGTGGGCACCACTGACTGCCTGCCCACCCTGCTCCAGGAACCCAGGGCTCCACACAGGGACACGGGGCGGTCAGTCCCCAGCCTGCGGCTTCCTGACACCTGCACTTTGGCCGCGGGGAAAGGTAGGGTACCTCACCAATGGCAGAGTGTGATTTGGCCCCCAGAAAGAGCTGCCTGGAGCCTCCATCCATACAGGGACCTGAGGTCAGAGCTGCCACCTCGGGAGGGTGGCACTGCATGACACTGCCCGCACATGCTTGGACCAGCCCCCTGACTCCTGTCTTGGGGTTCTCACCTGCCCAACAGTAGACCCAAGCACATGCCCCAGCACCGGGGCAGCTAGATGAGATGGCCCAGAGGCTCCGCGCACCCGGTCCCCGCCCCGTCCCCTCCTCCTGGCAGAGCACGGCCACCACACAGTGCCGCCACTCCTGGGGTTCTGCCTGATGCTGCCACAAGAACATCACATATGCGTGCCCGCTCCCCGCAATCTGCCTCAGACCCACGTGCCTGGCATGGCGGCCTCTTCCAGCCGTTGGAGACTTGGCCCTGCCCGTGTGGTTACCTGGCCCTGTCCAGGAGTTGCTGCTCTCTGTCGGGGATGTGGCCTCTGGCTCGGGCCCCTCCATCTCCTCCTCGGGGGCTCCTGGGGACGTGGGGGGTGCTGGTGGTGGGGACAGAGCTGCGTCTGCAGGGAGGAAGACAGCATCACTGCCGAGACCCCCTGGCTGGGAGGGTCCCCCTTCCCGGCCCTCTGGAATGGAAGGGATAGGGGCTTTTGCAAACCCCTCGCCCCTCACTGACCGCCCACAATGGTGTCTCCAGCTACTCCCAGCAGCCGGAGTGCAGGGCCCTGGGCACGCCCAGGCCAGCGGGCACCAGCGCCGTCGCAGTCGGCAGCTGGGGGCCTGCAGCCGCCCGCTCCCCACGGCGGCCCAAAGGGCATGTTTGCTTCCCGGCTGGGCTGATAACCAGCGCGGCCCCCAATCGATGCGCGCCCGGCAGAGCCCCTCCGTGACGTCACACACCCAGCAGATTATTAATACCAAGATAAGAGGTGCGATTAACATCAAATAAATCAATCGCATGGTATAAAAGTCCTATTATTTTTGGCTATAAATCAAAGTGGCTGGCATGGCGCTTCAGCCACCATGGGGAGCCACACGGGGCCGGCCTCGCTGGCCGATCGCGCCCGCGCAGCCTTATCGCGCCCATCATGCTATCGCCGCGGCCGTGCCAGGTGCAGCCCTGGCTGTGGGTCCCACCCCCGCCCCAGCAGCCCCAGCTCCCACATCAGATAAGGGCCTGACTCCCCAGGAAGCCGGCGGCTCAAAGTCCATCGCAGCCACCTGCCCTCTGCAGTCCTGGTCCCCGTGGTGCTGGTGGCCAGGGACAACGGTGGACGGGGACAGTGACCCACTCCACAGACTGAGACACGGAGGCCGAGGGCCACTGGGCCAAGTGTGGTTACCGCTGGGCAGGGCTGACAGGCTCTGCAGGTTCCCTGATACCTGGACAGCAAGTGCCAGGGTGGGGGTGCCTCTTGCTGGGGCCAAAGACTGTCTAGGTCTCCCCCCGCTACCCCCACATGTCCTCAGCCCCTCCCTGTCCTCCTCTCTGTCTCCAATTCGACTACCCTCCATTCCACCCTAGGGTCTCCGTACATGCCCATGCCACCTATGGCTGACCTTGAGGCCCCTTGTGCCACCCCATCTGTCCATCCTTCTGCCAGCCCCCTTGTGCCACCCCGTCTGTCCATCCTTCTGCCAGCCCCTGTGTTCTGCGGGAGTTAGTGTGTGTGCACAGGAGGCGGGCATGCGTGGAAGCAGAGGAAGAGGAGACAGTGGGGAGGATCCTGGCCCCTCCTCAGGGGTCTGGGGCACAGCTGTGCCCACAGGAGCTAGCCTGAGCAGGTCGCCTGGGGTGAAGCTAGGGTATCTCACTCTGCCCCTCAGAGGGTACAGGTGCCCAGGGCAGCTGGGGCTCCACCTGGTACAGCTGTGCAGCTCTGGGCACACCAGACCTCTCTGGACTGCCACTCTGTTCTGACCAGCACCTTCGTTCGTAGTTCCTGCCTGAGGGGACACCTCACTGGACTCCTCCCACAGGCCTTACACTGAGGCAGGCGGGCATGGCTGCCCTGGCTACCTGTTCATGAAGGCTGTGCCCCTCTCCGGAGCTGCTGCCACAGCCCCTGGGGAGCAGACCACTGGCCCTCCGGGGTGGTTAGTGCACAACTGGTGGACCCTGCATGGCCGTGGTTGGCATGTGGCCTCCACCCGACTCACCTGCTCTGGGGGGGCTTGGAGGCTGGGGCTCACCCAGGCCCGAGGGCTCTGGCTGTGTGGTGTCATGCTCTGTGAGACTGGTGTCCATGGCCTGGGTTTCCTCTGAGGTCTCCATGTCTCCAAGGGAACCTGCGGACACAGCAGAGGTAACCCATGAGGAGCCCCGCCTCTCAGTGCCAGCCCTTCCCTGTGGGGACGGCAGCACAGGGGTGCCAGGGGCTGGGCCTCTGCCGCCTGCCGGCCTTAGCCCTGGGGGAGACGTCGCCATGCTCTGCTGCACATCGCCTGTACCCCAGCAGGCACCCGTGAACCAGCACCTGACCCAAGCTGGGGGCTGCAGAAGGCCCTGAAGGGGAGGACCCCAAGGTGACATCAGAATGTCCCAGAGGTGGAAGTGGTGGTGCCTTGCCAAGCCCACTCCCTGGAGACCCCAGTTCCGGCAGCTTCCAGAGAAGGCACGGGCAGCCCAAGTCCACTATGACAGGGTCACCCACATGCGCCTGATGTGGAGACAGGCTGCGGGTAGCTGTGGGCTACTGGAGGCCAAGAGGGACGGCTGAGGACAGCACTAGGCACTAGGAGGTAGTTGGGGTGGGGCTGAAGGGAGTCCCACCCAGCAGGTGCCAAGAGCAGGAGCTGGCAGCGCCAGCCACAGAGGAGTGGACATTAGTGGACCACACGGGGTCCTGGGTTTTGGGCACACTGCTTTTGGCTGTGTCCAGCCCAGCCCTGGGCCTGGGGTACCTAGGGCCCACGGTCCCCCAGGGGCTGAGCCTGACCCACGGGCAGCAGCAGAGCCAAGGCCCCAGCCTCTGGTCCTCATTGCCCCAAGGGCAGGAGGCCATGGCCAGATGACTACTAGAGGGGTCAGCCCTTCCAGGCCCTAGGGAGCCGGCCCATCTGCCTGTGTCCTTCTGCAAGCTCCCGAGTCTGCTGCGGTGGGATGGAGGGCCTCAGTGGCCTGCCCTGCGGAACGGGCGCGAGACCTCAGGCCTTCATGGACGCTGCAGCCTGGCTGAGGCACAGGTGATACCTGGGAGAGCCCAGCTCCCACAGGGGAAGAACAAAGCTGAGCAAAGCTGAGACAGGAGAGCCTGGAGAGTGGCTGCCCCACACCGCTCCTGCTGCAGCTGCTAATTCAGACCGCATGGTCCGGCACTAAGTGACCAACTGACCATGCAGAGACAACTGCCAGGCAGCACCACACTGGGCACTGCCAGGAGGCTAGCTCGGCCTTCGCGACCTCAGATACCCTGAGTCCCGCTGGGGTCTCTCTTGGCCTAGAGCTCTGGCAGGGTCTAGCATGTGCCGTTATGAAAGCACCAACACTGTGCAGGCGCCCCACACTGAACACGTGTCTTCCCTGCATCCCCCTTCACAGCCTTCCAGTCCCCAGTGGTGGGGGAGGCCCGGGGGCAGACTGGGGGGAGGGGGCGGGCTGGGGGGAGGCAGGCTGGGCGGAGGCCTGGGGGGGGAGCGGGCTGGGGGAGGCCCAGGGGGCGGACTGGGGGGAGGCCGGGGGGGGGGGACTGGGGGGAGGCCCAGGGGGTGGATTGGGGGGGCGGGCTGGGGGGAGACCGGGAGGGGGGGAACTGGGGGGAGGGGGCGGGCTGGGGGAAGGCGGGGGGGGGGAGGCCCAGGGGGTGGACTGGGGCTCCAGCTGCAGGTACGGTGGGGTGGGGGTGGGGGACGCAGTGGCTGTCAGCAGCTGTGGGAGGGTGCAGGTGGAGGCCAGGCCCAGCCACGTATACTTCATGGGTAAGGCAGGGAACCCAGCTGATGCAGTGGGGGTGCTAGGGTGGACAGTGGCTCTTCTCCCCAGTATCCTGCAGGTCACCTGCGGTGCCAATGCGGTCGGAGCCGCCCAAGGCCATGTACCTGCCAGGGGCCAGGCTGGGACCACTGTGGGGGCTGGGGCGGAGTCGGCTGCAGCCCCCACAGTGCCTGCAGCCCCTCAGTTATCACCAGCGGCAGACGCCTGCATGCCTGCAGCCCCTTGCTCATTAAGCCAACGCAGAGATGGAAATGGGAACATAATAGCTATTTGATTGGGGGTGAGATATTTGCATATTGGCTCAGTGCTGATAGCAGAATTTCATCAACTCCCTTTTTTCATGCTTTAAACTGAATTGCACAGGGAAGCTCTGAGCGGCCACTGGTCTCTGCTCCTTGCCCGTGCCCATAGCTGTGGCCCCACAGTGGCACTGCCCCAGTGGGCCTGCGGGTGTGGCGAGGGTGACTGGCATGCACTCCTGGATATGAGGCTATCACTTGCACTGTGGCGCAGCGGGGTGCAGCTGCCCCCTGCAGCAATCCCACACGGTCCTGGCTCGAGGCCTGGCTGCTGCAGTTCCCATCCAGCCTGGGAAAGCAGGAGGGTGGCTCCAGTGCTGGTGCCCTCGTGGGAGATGAGGGTGAAGTGCTCGGCTTTGGACCAGCCCAGCTCCGGCCACTGTGGCCATCTGGGGAGTAAACCAGCAGATGGAAGATCTCTGCCTCTCCCTCCTTAACTCTGGTTTTGAACAAATAAAAACAAACCCCAGACAGAGTCTGGGGCTCCCTGGGCCACCTGGACCTCAGGTTCAGCCTCATCTGCATCCTGTTTTTGCATCCATTTGCTCGCTCATGCACCCTGACACTGGCCCCGTCCACCATCAGGTCCTGAGGAAGAAGGTCGGAAATGGGAGGGAGACTTCCGGGAGAAAGAAGCCCGCAAGAGCCATGTGGGAGTGAGGAGGCTCCCCCAGGCCCTACTTCCTGGCGTTGGCTTATCCAGAGCTAGGGTCCTGCTACCGATGGTGTGGTGGGTGCTGGGCACAGCTAATCACACCCACAAAAGTAGGGGGAGAGGCCCCTGCTGTTGGCAGAAGGCTGTAGGCAGGGGGTGGGGCTGCAGGGAGCCCCTGGCCCCTGGGTGGCAGCAGCAGCCAGATAAGGCCCTGATAAAGGACAGAAAATAGCAACAGACTCTGGCCTTCCCACCAGCCCGGGCCGCAGTGGAGACAGGCTGTAGGCATGGTTCTGCCCTCCTGCACGTGGCTACAGCCCTGGCAGGCCCAGGGCTTAAGCCTGACCTCTGGGCTGCTGGGCACCAGAGGCTGTGCTGGGTCCTGGACCTGGATGCTTTCCAAGGCCCTTCCCAGGAGACACTGACTAGAGGAGGCGTGAGGCCCTGAAGGAGACTGGCCCCCAGCCCCACGCACCTGCTCCCTGTAGGCCTCAACCCTTAGCATGAGAGAGGCATTCTTTGTGCACACATCCAGCAAGGACCTGTCAGTCTGGGAGATGTCCTGGCTCTCACTCTGCCCCCTTGTCCCCTGCCAGCCCTGGACGGGACAGCTGCTGGCTTGGGGCCTGCGAGGATATAGGGGACACCAAGGCAGGTGCCCAGCAGACACTCAGGGTCTTTGGAGCCTGGGCCTTGGAACTTTCTAGACAAAACATCCATCCCAACATGTGGAGGTAGCAGAAGCACAGCTGTGACAGTACACATGCCCCCAGCCGACCACTGAGCACGACCAAGCCTGGCCTTCCCAGCCCATGGTGCTTCCCATGTTGACCCAGCAGTGCCAATTGGCTCCGGAGCCCTGCGCCCTCTGGGCCCCCTGTCCAAGTCCGTTTCTGAACGCTCCCAGAGCAGGACACGGGCTGCTGACAGCATGAGTGTGGGAGGCCCGAAGGAGCACAGCAAGGCTGCGGTCGTGAGCTGGAGGTGGGGGCAGCCCCGTGCCGTCCTGCTCAGCCGACAAGGGGACAGCTCCGAAACAGCCTGCAGGAAGCCTGCCACCTACACACAGCAGGGGCTGCCGCCCGTGTCCCCTGCTCACACACACACACAGAGCACCGGGGGCTGCCGCCCGTGTCCCTCCTCACCCTCCTCACTCATTGTCCTGCCGCCTCTGCCTAGGCTACTCTCTCCCCAGACCCTTCCCCAGCCAGCATGCCCACCTCTTGGCATGTGGGGTCTGGGGGCTTGCATGCTCAGGCCCAAAGCAGTGCTGGCTGCACACAGAGGCGCTCAGTGAGGCCCAGGAGCCTCAAGCGGGGGCAGTCCAGTGGCAGTGATCAGAGGGGAGAGGACTTAGTATGGCCCCAAGACAGCCCCGTGCCCAAGGAGCCCCCAGAGGAGCCTGGTGGGTGAGCGCAGCATCCCACACCTGAGGCAGGCCCTCCCTCCTCACTGCAGTCAGGACTCCACTCCACGGATGGCTCAGCAGCCTGCAGCCCGTGGCCACAGCAGGCTTCTGGCAGGTGCAAGGTCTTCCCAGGGTGGGAGGGGCAGGAGAAGGTGCTGTGGCCTTTCCCTGGGCAGCTCCCACAACCTGCCGTCACCTGTCTTATAGATGGGGTCACTGAGGCAGGGAGCTCTAGGAAGACCTCTGGAGGCCTCCCTAGGTGCTTGGCCTGAGCTGGCTGGGCCCTGTGGGGGTTCTTGTCCCCTCACATATTCCCGGGGTGCAGGGCTGGTAGGGGACCTAACTGGGCCTTGGCCTGTGCACCTGGCCTGGACTGGGTGGCGAAGGCTCCTAAGAGGTCAGCAACTGCCCAGAGCCCAAGACTCCTCGGGCAGTGAGGTAGACAGTCATGGGCCTTCTCGGAGGAGGCAGCCTGATGCTCTAGCTGAGGTCCAAGGTAGGGCAAGGCCCAGCACATGCAGCTGGGCTAGGGAACATGAGGATACGGCATCTCCAGTCACTCACAGGACATGAGGACCCCCAAGCCCACGGATGGGGACCTGCTAGGGCTGCGCCACATGAGGGCCCCACTACCATGGCCTCCAGTTGCCACCCCCCCTTCTCCAGGCTGGGGCCCCAGTCCCCAGCAGCAAGGCCTGGTCAGGGCAAGGCTGCAGGGGAGGCCTGGGAAAGCCATGGCTGCTGCGGAGATGGGTTTCAGGCGCTGAGCTCGCGCCACATTCATCACGTGGGGCTTGGGAGTTATCAGTTCTGGGGTTGGCGCCATCTCCGGGCTGGGTCACTCTCGGCTGACAGATGACATGGGAGCCGATTACAGGCTCCTGGGGCTGGGGGGAGGCCCACAGAGGGGCCACATGTGGGAGCAGGCGAGGCCATGGAGGAGCCACGTGAGGGGTGAGCCATCCTCTCCCCAGTTGGGCAATGAAGCTAAGG